AGCTGCTAAAAAGTTCAAGTGACTATGTGAAAAACACATGAACAGAGTGGGCCTTTTCTTCTAGGAATGTGCTTGCATCATAATATGCACAGTATTCCCTCATCTAATCCCCAATACTGAATCACTGCGGGAAGTTTCTTTTGCTAATTTACTCTTCCTTAAAAAACCAAAAAAAAAACCCCAACCCCCCCTCCACCTCTGAAAAGAGTATTCTATCACTGACCAAACACTGTCAATACTGCTTTTCTGAAAGTCTTCACCAAAGCAGGAACTGGTCTAATTTCCTGTTACTATCTTATTCCACAGATTTCCTAGATGTACAATAAAATAAATAAATAAAAGATGAAGGGAATGAGGGTGGAAATGGGTTTCTACTCACTCATTTTCTATTATCACCTGTCAATCAATTAATCAAATGATCAATAAACATCGGTTAAGTACCTGCTATATGCAAAGTTCTGTTCAAACAATCTCTTTCAATTAAGAAGTATCTAACATTTCTTACCTACATAAGACAATCTATGAAATAATCCCTGAGGTACCTAAATTCCTTTCTAAGCAATTGTTCCTCATTAAATGGAAAGGTTTAGTCATCTGTCCATTAACAGAGAGGATAAGCCCACAACAACCTCTGGAGAAGAGAAAACCAACACCCAGGGACGCTTTTCTTTGGAGAGTGACAAATGTCACTTACTTGCTATAGGTAAATGTACATGGGGGTGAAATTAACACTTATCCCTCCAGAAGTCCCTGATGAATGAGACTTACCATAGACTAAGCAATTGTTATTTCAACAGCTTCTGGGAAGTGAATGTATGTGTGAGGGTGGAGTGTTACTGTTCTCTTCCCGTTTAGTAAAAGCAGCTCACATTTATACAGCACTTTACAAACTATAAAGCACTTATCTCACATTATTCTTGTGATAAATTAAATGGTTGGAAGCATTTTCACCCATTTTATAGATGAGGAAACAGACTCCTGGAGAAATGGCTTACAGATTATAGGATTCAGTGCTGGGACAGAGCTTAGGGATCTACTAGGAAAACTGCTCTGGATCTTATTTGCAACCATTTCCCATGAGTCAACCCTCAGTTCTCTTCTTTCTTACTCTCTTTCCCTGGTCAATTTCACTCACTGCCACAGCTTTAAAACAGATGACTCCCAAATCTATACCTTATCGATTCCATTAGAATGTGAACTCCTTGGGGATAGTTTCCTTTGTACTTGTATCTCCCACACTTGTCAGCTGATTGAGTTAATTCTGACATCTCAGTCTATCTTTGTACATAGATATAATGCCTAGAGAACATTTCTACCTGGGAGTCCCACTGGCACCTCCTATTCAACGGATCCAGAATCAGGTTTATTATCTTTCCCCCTACACCTATTCTCTCTTCTGACTTTATTGTTTCTGTCTGTAACACAGCCATTTATTCCTCCATGTCACTATGAGAGACAGCCAGACCACCTAGTGCAGCAGATAGAATGCTGAGACTCAGGAAGACTTGAGTTCTAATTTGAGCTCACATACTGTGTGGCTCTAGGCATGCCACTTAACCTCTGTTTGCCTCAGTTTCCTCAACTGTAAAATGGGGATAATAATAACACCTACCTCACAGATCTCTTGTGAGGATCAAAGGAGATAATATTTGTAAGTTAGGAAAATACCTGACACATAGCAGGAACTTAATAAATGATTGTTTCCTTCCATGTTCATAACTTAGGATTGAAAGATGACAGAAGAATCAATTACCAAAGCCTGTCAATTCTACTTGTGCTGAATCTCTGGCATTAAATCCCCACTCTTTTCCCACTGCCACTAACCTAGTACAGATACGCATTACCACTTACCTGGACTACTGCAACAGTCTCTATTCATTCCCTTCACTAGCCCATGCATTATATTGAACCCAAAATCTTATGCAAAGATCTGGACATGTAATACCTTTGCACAAAAATCTTGGGCAGCTAGGTGGAGCAATGGATAGAGCACCGGCTCTGCAGTCAGAAGGACTTGAGTTCAAATCTGGCCTCAGACACTTGACACTTACTAGCTGTGTGACCCTGGACAAGTCACTTAACTCCAATTGCCTAGCCAAAAAGGAAAAAGAAAAGAAAAATCTTTGGTGGCTTCCTGCTGTTCAGTGAATAAAGTTCAAAATTCTACCTAGTCGTCAGGGCCCTCAACAATATGACACTCCAGTCTTCTCTCATGTTACTCTCCATGTACTCTATGATCCGAGCCAAACTGGACTTCTCCATTCCCTGAACATGCCCTGTGCTCTCCTCCCTCCATGCCTTGATTACTCTACTACTCCCCATACCTGAAACATCCTCCCTCCTCTCCCTTTTGCTTTTAAATTTCTGCCCTACTCAAAGACCACTTTCTCTATGAAGCTGAATGTGACCCCTCCTCCTTCCAACTTGCATGTAACAGAGTTTTAAAACTCCAATGCACTTTTCATGTAGTACTGCATCCTGTGTCTGTGTCTTATCTGTTTGCTGTTTCTTAGTTGTGCCCAGATCTTCATGACCCCATTTGGGGTTTTCTTGGCAAAGATACTGGAGTGGTTTGTCATTTCCTTCTCCAGCTCATGTGACATAGGAGGAAAATGAGGCACTTAACTGAGGGATAAGTGAATTGCCCAGGGTTACCCAGCTAGTAAGTGTCTGAGGCCAGATTTGAATTATGGAAGATGAGTCTTCCTGACTCCAGGCCTAACACTCTATCCACTGCGCCACCTAGCTGCCCTATTTTATCCACTTACTCTTTGAAGTCAGATACTGTCTTTTCTACACTTTGTATCTCTCTCAATTCCAGGACCATACTCTGTAACAGTTGTCACTTTTAATAAAGGTTTGCTGAAACAGTGAATGAACTGTGTAAACATCAGAGCTGAAAGGAACCTTAGAAACTGCCTCATTTAACAGAGGCCCAAAGAGAGGAAGGGACTCTTCCAAAGTTCAGTTAAGTGGTAGAAGTGAAATTAAAATCCAGATCTTCTAACTCTAAATTAAAGGCTTTTCACCACAACATCCCACTACGTCTCTAGAACATAGAACAACAATCACAAATCCAATTCTGGTGAGCAAGGTTTGCCTATCATCTATATCCTGGTGTTTCATGGAGAAATCCTAGATTTGGAATCAGAAGATCCAAGGTTTTCACACTCACTAGTTTTGGGCAATTCATTTCATTTCTCAGTGCCTTAAAATATCACAGGATTTACAGTTGAAAAGGACCTTCAAGACCTATGTTTGAAATCTGCCTCCTAAGCTCACCAGCTGTGTGACCATGCGCCTCAGTTCTTTATCTGTAAAATGAGGATACTACTGGGGGCAGCTAGGTGGCACAGTAGATAGAGCACCAGTCCTAGAGTCAGGAGGACCTGAGTTCAAATGCGACCTCAGACCAAACACTTGACGCTTACTGTGTGACCCTGAACAAGTCACTTGACCCCAATTGCCTTAAAAAAAATCAGGATACTACTGGTAGCTCCTATTTCACAGCCCTGATAAGAATCAAAAGAGATAATTCATGAAAAGCATTTTGCAAATCCTAAAAGATTCTACGTAAATGTCAGCTACTTAATCCAACCTACTCATTTTATAGGGGAAGAAACAAGAGTTCCAGAGAGGTTGCCATCCTTGGTTTCCTCCTCCCTGAAATGCGAATAATGCTTCTGTGAACGGTAAAGTGCTCTATAACAATGAAGTTGGCCTTGGAGAAAAGACTTGGTTTCTTGGAGTTAGGAAGACTGGCTTCCAGCACTGAGTTGCATACTTCCCAGTAGCATGAAGCTGTGCCTCCCTGTGCTTCCATAAAACTAAGCTGTAAAAACAGTAGCCTGTTCGCATTAGTGGAATAAGTTTCCTCATCAGTAACCTATATACTAATAATGTATGTATGTGTGTGTGTGTATGTATGTGTGTGTGTATATATATATATATATATATATATGTTTATAGGAACACTGGCTTCCTTTAAGTCCCTATTAAAATCCCACTTACTGAAAGCCTTCCCCAATCCCTGTTAATACCAGTGTTTTACCTCTATTAATTATTTCCTATTTCCTTGTATAGAACTTGCTTTGTATATATGTTTGCATGTTGTGTTCCCCCATTAGATTGTAAGCTCCTTGAGGGTAGGGACTGTCTTTTGCCTCTTTCTGCATCCCCAGCACTTAGTGCTGGCACATCGTGGGTAGTTAATGAATATTTACTTAGTTGAATATATGTATATTTACAGGTACACATACAACTCCGTATACTCCCTATACCCATCTCTTCATTCATTCTTCTCCAGCACTTCTCCAGATTTTCAAGGAGATAAGTAATATAAACTTATATTACATTACATTCCACTTAACACTACTTAGCACCTACTGTGTGCATTAAGCCTCTTTCTCGACAGTCCATCTGCATCTAACACCGTTGGAGCCACAGGATCCCAGGACATGGAGCTGGAAGGCGTCACCTAGTCTAACCGGTCCATTTTACGGAGGAAAAAACTGAGGCCCAGAGAGGAGACATGACTTAGGATCCTAGAGACCATTCAGTCTAACACCTTCATTTTACAGATGAGGAAACTGAGGCCCAGGGAGGGTGCGCGACTTGGCCAAGGTCACAAAGGGATCAAGTGGGAAGTACTTAGGATTCGAACTCAGGTCCACTCCCTTCGCGTCAGGTGCCAAAGCCCGGCGCCCTGGGCCCTGCCCCGAGGGGCTTGGGACGAGCCGCCCCCAGGAGGCCGAGGGGCCGCACAGGGGGTCCGGCTTCTGGCTGCCCCGGGAGCGTCGGAGGTAGCGCCTCCGCTCAGGCCTCGGCCCCGGGGAAGAGGCATCTCGGGCCGGCTGGGTGGGCGAGAGGGGCACGGGGGCCAGGCCCGGGACGGAGGCGCGGGGAGACCCGGCCGCAGCTCCGGCCCCACCCCCGGCCTTGGGGGTCCCCCCCCGCAGACACCCCGCTCTTGCCCCAGCTCCGGCTTCTCCTTCACTCACCATCGCCACCGCCATCTTGGATCCACGTGTCGCCGCCGCCGACGTCAGCGGAAGTGGCGCCTCCAGTCTGACGGAGTTTAAGCCCGGCCACACGGGTGTCCGTGCTGGGCCGCCTCTGGGCTCCGGGCCCCAATGACCGGAAAGGCAGAGGCGCGGATTCCGGGACTCGACGGAGGACTACGGTGTCGCCGATTTGCCGTAGGAGGGGAAGCTGTAACTCTGGGCGCCATCTTGACTCCTGGCAAGGACCTCCTTAGTTAGCTAGCCTCGGTTGGCTACCCTGCGCCATCTTGATTCCTGGCAACCGCCGTCTTTATTCTCTTATTTTACAACTAGGTTTCTGCGCCATCTTGACTCCTGGCAAGGACTTCTTTAGTTAGTTACTCACTGTTAGCCACCCTGCGCCATTTTGATTCCTGGCAGGAGGAAGCGTTGCCTGGGCGGCTTCGAGCCGGATTTTCTCAGTCTGGGGCAGAAGAGTCCTTGACTTTGAGTGCGGGAGTAAACGTCGCCGAGCCCACGGAGTCGTTACCGTCACCAGAGGAGTCCTTTGCTGTTCTAGGGCAGAGAGCCTCAGTTTTCCTTATCTCGAAAATGGACCTCCGGATCGCACAAGTTCGTCGTCACGGTGGATTGTAATACGAAACAGGAGAGAAAAGGATTAGAAAAAGACAATCCTGAGGAATTAGATTTTAGGATTTACATCTGGAAAGATAATCAGGAACACGGGATGAAATTTATATATCGAAAAACGTTTGTTAAGTGACTTGCTCAAGATCATAAAGCAATACTGATAACTAGGATTTATGTAGCCATTTACAGATATTATCGCATTTATCCTCACAATAACCCTGTAAACTAGGGGCCATTTTACAGCTGAGGAAACTGAGGCATTTAGAGTCTAGGTGATTTACCCAGTGTCACACAGCTTGTAAGCATTTGAACTCAAGTCTCTTTGACTGAAGGAGCTTTATCCACTCCCACCTAGCTGCCTTATAGTAAGGAGTAAAGCAGTACCATGGATTCAGAACTAGAAGGCCCCTTACTGGTAACCTAGACCAATTTTACAGGTGAGAAAACTGAGACTTAACAAAGTCATGGTTACGTAGGTAGTAAGGGACAACGCAGGAGTCGTCCTCTTTCTCCAAATCCTAACCCAGCCCTTTTTCTGTTACATCTGATCAGTAAATGAGTCAGCAAGCCTTTTATTAAATGGGATACAAAGATAAAAGTGAAATAGTCCCTGCCCTCAAGGAGCTTACATTCTAAGGGAAAGACAACATGTGCATATAGAGACGAGTACATAGTATGGACAATAAGGGTCTCTTAGGAAGGAATGCACTAGTAGCTGGGGTGATCAGGAAAGGCTACGTGCAGAAGGGAGCATGTAAACTGAGTCCTGAAGGGAACTAGGAGCTCCTAGGGCCGCAAGGAGTGAGGGGGTGCCGTCTAGACATGGGAAACAAGTCCAAAAGTGCCAAGATCTGTAGAAAAACAAGGAGGCCAGTATGGCTAGATCTCAGGGTATAGAAGTAGTGTGTAAGAAGACTAGAAAGGTAGTTTCTTAGGATTAGCACCACCACTGGGTTATCAGTTGTATAGACTCTTAACTACTGGTATGGGCCATGCTTTGTGATGGGGGCCCAGAGGCGCCCCTTGTGGTGATGCAAGGAGCAGCACTTCATTGATACAGCCCCCTGCTTAGTGGTCATGTTTGCCCTTGCTCATAACACCAACTATTTCTTTGAATGAAAGGAATAATAATGCTGTGGACAGACTCCTTGCTTAGAGTCATCCTGCCTTCATCATCTGGTGACTTGATTTGGCTTGTCACCTTTAGGAAGGCGGTATTGAGAATTGGAATGGACTTTTAAAGGACAGACTTTATTTTTCTTGGCAGAGGCAAATATCTTCCCTTAGTCATTGTCAGCTCTCTAGGAGGGAGGGAGGTGGGCAGGCTTTTCAGACCACTGTCCCTTTACTCCTGGCTCTTTTGGGAGCTGTGGGCCTGATACTGAAAGCAATGGAAACTTATTCCTGGGGAAGATATAGAATGTTCTTCCCAATCTCACCATCTTTCCTGTGGGATGCTTTTGGGCAAGTCATCTCCCTGAAAGCCAAGGAGGCCTTGGCATCAGAGGGAGAGACCGTGGGCCTTGACAACAGGGGAGAAGAAGAAGTGACTGTTCACAGTCTTTTAGGGGTTAGGATGAGTGGGAGTTGGGGGAAGGTATTACCTATTTAATCCTTTTGGATAAAGAGAAGAGTGGGTGGAAGATAGGACCTTCAGAAGAACTTAGGGGTCAGAGAATTTGGTTTCAGTAAGCTTGGGGTTAATGAAGCAGAGGTCATAATCAAGGAGGAAGGGTGAGGAAGGATGTAGGGGCAACAGAATAAGGGGAAGAGAGATAGCATCTTAGGCCAAGGGTCAGCAAGCAAAGGGATTATATATACTTAGCTTCTGCTACCAGGTATTATTTTGGGAGTAGAGATGTCCTTAGGGTTCTGCTGGTTCTCATGGACAGCTTTCTGTTCCCAGCTTTTCTCCTCCTAGTTCTTTCTTCATTTGGCCTCCAGTTGCATTGTGACCATCTGACTGACTTATTATCTTAATGCCATAACTATGTTGACTTTTGGAAGGTGGCTGTGGATTTGGTTGTGACTGTTTTTTTCCCCCATTTGTTCAGAATGTACATTCTGTACTATTAAACTTGGATATTTTATCTGTTACTATCTAGAACTGAGGTCCTAGTCCTTACTATTAGGCATAAAGTGTGGTCATGCTTCTTCTACATCGTCAAAGGGTGGAATGTCTTAGGTATTTCTTGTTCTGCCTAGGCCTTGAGCCTTAAGGGGTTGACTAGGTTGCATGACTTTAATGACTGAAAGAATATATATATATATATATAGCCTTTGGTCCTAGAAACCTAGAACAAGAATAGGCTAAATTCATTAAGGTCCACTTTTTGATAAATCTTATATAAATAAGGAAATATAGATCTTTGGTCCTGACAAGTTACTTATTCTTCTACAGGAATATTATTGACCTGGATGTGTCCTAATGGATAGGAAATCAGAGTGCTATGCCTGTCAATGTTCGTTCTTCTCAGTGCTTGTCTGTTTTTAGGAAAGGATTTTTAAAATCCATATTATTTGCCTCATTGATTCAATCTCTATATGTCCTGAACCTGCATTTGGTGCCCAGGATGCACCAGACCTAACATAAGCCCAATGGGGCCAGGTTTTGAAAATCTTTAAATGTCAAACTTAGGCATTTGATCCTCTAGGTAATATGGAGCCACAAGAGAATTGAAGCTAACAGGGTCAGAACTGTTCTTTAGGGGAACCAATTTGGGAACCATGTAGGGAATGAATTGGAGTGGGCAGAGGTTTGATACAGATAGGCCAAATAAGAGGCTATTGAAATAATCCAGGTGAGAGACTATGAAAGACTTAACTAAGGTGGGAAGGGAAGGGGAGAAGACATACAGAGCCTATTATGTGCTAGGCCCTGTGCTAAGTGTTTTACAAATATTATCTCATTTGATCCTCATGACAACCCTGAGATAGGTGCTGTTATTATTCCCATTTTACAGATGAGGAAACTGAAGAAAACAGAGTTTAAGTGACTTGCCCAGGGTCGCACAACTAGTAAGAATCTAAGTATCGGATTTGAGCTCAGGTCTTCTTAACTTCCAGGCCCAGAGCTGTTATCCATTGCATCACCTAGCTGCTTACCACTACTCACAGGTGGAGACTGTGTGAGTGATTAGGAGGGGATGTATGAGGAAAGTATTGTAGAGACAGTAGAAGGTATAGCAACTGATTGGATATGTAGTGTGAGAGTGAGATGTCAAGGGTGACACAAAGTTTCCAGGGTGAATAGGAATTACTCTCAACGGTAACAGGGAAGTTTGGAAGAATGGGTTTGGGAGGAAAGATAATGAATGCTGTTCTGAACAAGTTTGAGATATCTACAGGACATCCATTTTGAAGTGTTCAATAGACAGTGATGATGTAGGACTGACGGTCAGGAGAAAGGCTGAGGTTAGATATACAGCAATGGGATACATTGGCTTAGAGATGGTATTGAACCCATGGGAGCTGATAAGATCACTAAGTGAGGGGCAGCTAGGTGGCACAGTGAATACAACACCTGCCCTGGATTCAGGAGAACCTGAGTTCAAATCCGGCCTCAGACACATAACATTCACTAGCTATGTGACTCTGGGCAAGTCACGTAACCCCACTCACCTCACCAAAAAAAAAAAATCACCAAGTGAGAAAGTGTAGAGCAGAAAGGGAAGAGGGCCCAGGACAGAGCCTTGGGGTATACCTAGAAAGCAAAGGAGACTGAAAAGTACCACTCCAAAAGGTAGGACGTGAATCAGGAAAGAGCAGTATCTTAAAAACCTGACAGAAAAGAAAGGATTTAGGAGGAAAGCAAGTGTCCAGAGCTTGAATTCCAATTAGTAATGGTAAATAATCAGCCAGCACTGTACGTAGATTACTGCTACTATTGCTTTTTTTTTAAGTTTTATTAATGCTTTTTTTCCCCAGTGATTTCATCCCGACAGAAAACAAATAAAACTTTCCTTCTTGTGATATAGAAGTACAATTAGGCAAAACAAACCGATCCATTAGTCACGCCTGACTAAGTATGCCTCCTTCCATGGACGCTTCTCAGTGTGTCCACTCTTGTTGTTGTTTTAAAGCCACTTTCACATCCCGTGTTCTTCTTCAACACCATGAGTGAAGCAGGGCCAGTATCCTCATTCCCATTTAATAGGTGTTGAAACTGAAGCCCAGAGTCCGAGGTAGCCCTGTATCATTTCTGGTCCTAGCACCTTGAGTCTCTTGATTTATCTAGGGCTTAAGGCCCTGAAAAAAGAAGACACAGCTGCCCAAGGAGATCAACTCTACTGGGGCATCTCCAGTCCTATGGAGTCATTGATCCTAAAGAAATTTTGGAGAAGAGAGAGAGGGTGGGTCTAACTGACCATAGAGTGCTACTGGGGAGAAAGGAGCCTAGTACTATATCACAAAAGGCAAGAGCAGGCCACAGAAAGCAAATCTTACACCTCTTTATTGATAGTTAAAACAGATGACAAGGAACAGGACCTACTGTGGTATCAGTGCCCTGGAGAAGGTTACATGACAGGAAGAAGGGGCTTGATAGAGAAAGGGGCAGACAAACCTGTTTTTTAAAAACACAATGAGAGTCAAAGGTAAATAAAAACTTTTCATTTTAAATAAAGTCACAAACTCACAACTCCATGCCACTTTGCTTGTATCTCTCCATTGCAATTATCTCATCTTCCCTGCTACCATAGCTATTTGTGTCATTATTTTCTACCAGTTAGATTGGAGATCATTGAGGGTAGGGCCTTTGCCATCTCCATGCCTGGGCTATTCTGTATATTTGTGTTGAGCCCACCTCTCTAGGATCATCTCCTTATCACTAATCAATATGGCTCCATGAGCCCTGAGGGGTTGAATTGGCCCATAAATAGCCTTCAGGGCATCATAAAAGTGCTTTGGCAAATCCAGCCTCAGATACTTGACACTTACTAGCTGTGTGACCCTGGGCAAGTCACTTAACCCCAATTGCCTCACCGAAACAACAACAACAACAATAAAAGTGCTGCGGATTGTTACTACCAGCATAAAACTGAATTTCATCTGTCTTCTTACAGAGCCAAGAATCCTGCATTTGCTTTCCTTGTGCTGTCTTGGTCTTTTGAATTCTTACCCACCTTTTAAAACCCAGTTCAAGTAATACCATCTCTAGGAAGTCTTCCCTCATCCTCTTGGTCGACAGCACTTTTTTTTAACCTTTCCATAGCATTTTCATGTAACATGATATTTTAAAAGTATCGGGGTTTACGTCTTATACACCTACTAGATCGTGCGTTCCTTAAGAACTGGGAACGTGTCTTAGTTAATCTTTGTATTTCTTCCATTTTGTGGCACTATGTTCTGCACACAAATGTGTGGCATGGTGCTCTGCACATTTGATAACTGTTGGCTAAATGAACAAATCCCCAAAGGCAGAGCATGCTCTGCATGTAGTAGGCCCTCAGCTGTTTGTTGAATAATCAGTGAATCAGAGAATTTTTAGAACTTACTAAGACTTTGTAGTGAGACATCCAGATAAGGTGCCACTCTTCTTTGTGCACAATGCTTCTATCTCTGACCCACCACCAACAGGACGTATGTACTGAGTGGTTTTTCCCATAGCAGGTATTGGCTGCCCTGGGCCATTTGATTTCTTTTATCCCATATCTCCCATGATTAGGGCAGGAATACGCTAGATGGAGAAGCGGGGTTCAGGATGACGGGGGTCTAGATGCACCTATGAGACTGGACCCCGTCCTCATTCCATTCAGTTCTCTAGCCTTAAATACCCCAGTGGCCATCTCAGCGAAGAAAGGGAGAAGAAGCCCACCTCAAACAGAAGGGAATAGGGTGAGCTGCAGTTAGTTGTAATCTCCTATTATTAACATCCACAGACCTAACTCAAGCGTAGAGTTAAGCCAAGGCAGGACTTTAGTGAAGCCTTGGGGAGAGCTGTGGCTGAGAATGTGGCCACACATACAAGTATGGACTAAGTGGTCTGGCTAATCTGCGAACCTCTGGAGCCTGTCTTTGTATTCTTTCATCCTGAGAAGAAAAAATAGGAAGGTAAGGTTCAGGCTAACTACATCTTCCTCTGTTATTTTCTTGATTCCTCCCCAGTCCTCTCAGGAGAGACAGTTTGGAAGTGAATCTTTAGCCTTCCATCTTTGCCTCTGGAGGTAGTGGCAGCCAAGGGGCCTGGAAAAACATCTGGGAAAGGCCAACCCACAAAGTTCTCATCTTCTACCCTCTTATGTTCCCCTTGTCCTTTGTGGGGCTGTCCTTTGCCAAGCCCCTCCAAAATCACTTCCCACCAATCCCAGCACCCCCTTCACCACAGATGGGTTTCTGACAACCACACTGGCCAATTTGGGATAGGAAATGAGAAGGGTATAGCCACTCACTAGTCCTGACAAGAAAGCCAAAACAATTTCTTATGCCTTAATTTGGACTGGGAGGAGGCCAAATGCCTCATCTCTTGAGAAATTTTTAATGAGAGGCTAAGCTCACAGCTCTTCTGAGACAATAGCATGGACAAACTCTCAGACTCCTTTCTTAACACTGTCCCAAGGCAGGTTGGAAGAAAAAAAGATGCAGCCCCCTTTCTCTCAGCAGTTCTGGTCTCTGGGAGGTCTCCATCCCAATTTCTTGGTTAATGAGCTGCTAGGAACTAAGAGGATTTTTTGGCAATTGGAAGAAGAGAAATGTGTGTCTATCCATAAACTCTGTGGCATTCATAGTATTTTTCCATTTGACCCAGATCTCCCAAAGCTGTGGCTAAAACTGGAATAACAACCATCCCAGTCAATTGCCAATAGCAATACTGACCAGCAATCTTCCTAGGAATCACAGTCAGCGAATGTCAGAACCAAAAGAGCTTTTAGATTGTCAAATGTTATAGGTGGAAGGGACCTTATACTACAGAACATAGAATGCTATAACTGGAAGGGACCTTAGAACATAGAATATAGAATGTTAGAGCTGGAAGGGACCTCAGAGATCATCTAATCCAATGCCTTCACTTTAAAGAGGAAGACCCAGAAAGAGCAAGTGATTTGGTCCAATGATCCACTGAGTTAGTGACAGAACTAGAACACAGGTCTCCACACTCCCAGTCTCAGAGATGGATCTTGAAATGGAGATGGGAATTAGGAAGATGAGTATGACCAGTAGGTAGTGTACATGAAAGCAACATGATGGTATGCTGATATGATTCAAGAGTTGGTCACAATGCTTGGGATGCTACTCCTCATGGCTGCTTTTGGTACTGGCTCTCAGTGGCAGTGTAGAAGTCCTCCAGCACACTCTGGAGATACTCAAATGTAGGCCGATCCTCGGGTTTGTTCATCCAGCAGCGAGTCATGATGCTGTATAGTTCTTCTGGGCAGTTGTCTGTACGAGGCATCCGGTATCCACGATCCAGGGAACGGATCACTTCAGGGTTAGACATTCCTGAAAAACAGGGGAAAAGAGTCAGATAGGAGAAGGAGAAGTGGGGGCCATGTACATACTCTCACCTAATTTCACTTTTGACTTGTCATGAATTTGAGGGACAGGAAGCTGAGGTTTTAGAGGGGGTATCCATAGTCTAGAAGTAGTCCAATGTTTACCCTCAACTTTTTTCAGTCTATAATATACCTGTAAACTTAAAAGGTCCCCAAGAGGTATGGCTTCCCTCTGTTTTCTATCTAACCTAAGATGTTTACCCTGAAGAAGGAAAGATTTAGGGAGACGTCTTTACTGTTCTCCAATATCTAAAGAAATGTTATTATGTAAAAGAGTGATTCAATTCGAACTAAGTCCCAAAGAACAGAATTGGAACTATAGTAGGAAGGCTATAAAGAGGCAGATTTTACCTCAGTATGGGAAAGAACTTCCCAAAAATTAAGATGGCTTAGAAACACGACTGCCCTGGTACGTGTTGAGCTGCCTGTCACTGATGGTGTTTAAGCAGAGGCTGGAAGAACATTTATCTGAGATGGTGTAGAAAGGATTCATGCATTGGATGTGGGATTAGGCAAAATAATCTCTCTTCCAATTCTAGGGTTCTATTAATCTAGTGATCTGTCTATATCCTTTACCTTAGCACATATGATATATACATACATATATGTACATACATGTATAGCTGTGATGGTCACTTGCTACAAGAGAGTGGCAGCCTGATTGCTCTAATTGGACTTCACAGGCCCATCTATACTATTGGCTCTCTACTTTTCAGCTGAAGTGAACTGTTTTTTTTTGGGAAAGGATGTCTGGGAAACTGGCTTATAGTAATTTTTTTTGAGTCAAAAATAGAGGTTAAGTGACTTGCCCAGGGTCACGTAAGTAGTAAATGTCTGAGGCCAGATTTGAACTCAGGTCCTCCTGACTTCAGGGCCAGTGCTCCACCTAGCTGTCCCTACTTATAGTAATTAAACTCACAAGAGTCTAATTGATAAGCCAGAAGAACAGTTTAGTAATAAAAATGCTAGTTATAATAATATATGTTTTCATATAGCCCTGTATTGTTAAAAAAACCCTTTATATATACATTATCTCGTTTGATCTTCATAGTATCTCCTGTGAAATTCATTATCAATGTTTTACAGAAGGGGAAAATGAGACCCAGAGAAGGAGGCATGGCAATCAAGGCCAACCAATTAGAATGCAGAAGGAAGGAAAGAAGGAAATAAGCATTTATTAAACATTTACCATATGCCAGGTACTATGCTAAGAGCTTTACAAACATTATCTCATATGATCCTCACAATCCTGGGAGACAGGTACTACCCATTTTACAGTTGAGGAAACTGAGGCAAATACTGGTTAAAATGACTTGCCCAGAGTCACAAAGCTAGTATATGTCTGAGGCTGGATTTGAACTCGGGTCTTCCAGCACTCTATCCACCGTGCCATTTAGCTGCTTCTAATGTGGTAGAATCAGGACAGGGACCCAGATCTTCTGACTCCAACTTTAGGGTTCTTTCAACCACACCAAAGGCTACTAGTACAGTCCTGTCTGCCAAACAGCTCATCCTTCCCAGAGAGAGAGGGTCTACTTGGAAAGGCTAATCAATAATAGAAGGTTGCTTGGCAACAGCAGATAAGGACAAAGGGAGTTGGAAGGTTTGACGCTCTACTTATCCAGATAATTTCCTCCAGCAGAGGAATAAGGTAGTTCAGTGGAAAAAACATTTTGGTTTTGGATTCAGAAGGCTTGGGTTCCAGTCCTGGCCGCACTAGATCCTAGTTGGTTGACTCCGATTGTCATTTTCTTTCTTTGGGCCTCAGATTCCCCACCTGGGAGGGCTGCTTTGAAGATCAAATGAGATTATGTGTGTAAAATGTTTGGTAACTATAAAGTGCTATGTAAAAATCACCCGTTATCATAAAGAGTATTATTAGTAAATTGTTACTGGGTTGTTGTTTTTTTTTATTAACTGTGGCTCTGTTTCTTTTTGATTGTGACCTGGTCTCATTTTCTTCATTTGTAGAATGAGGGTATTGGACCCAAATAATTGGAGAAATAATGTTCACTCATGGATAGGCTAAGCTAATATATTAAAATTGACAATATTCTCTTTATTAATTTACTTATTTGGTGCATAATGATCAAATGATTACTTTATGGAGCTAGGGAAAAAAAGAAAATCATTTGGAGAAACAAAAGGCCATGAATTTCAAGGGAAATTTTAAAAAAATGGGAAGGAAGGGGGTTTAACTAGATCTCAGACTATATACTAAAAAGAAACAGTCATCAAAACTATTAACTGGTGGAAAAAATGGAGAGGTTGATCAGTAGAACAATTAAATATACGGCATAAAGAAGCAAATAAACATAATAGCATAGTGTTTTTAATTTATTCATAATGTTCAAGAAACACAAAGACTCCAGCTACTGGAGCATGAGCTCGTTATTCAGCAAGAAACCTCCTGGAAAACTGTAAAGCAGTCTGGCAGAAATTAGGTAGAGACCAGATCCTCACACCATATATCAAGATAAGCTCCAACTAGATATGTGACTTGGATATAAACAGTCACATCATAAACATATTAGAGAAGCAAAAAAGAAATTATCTTTTATAACTACCGATAGGGAAGAGTTTGTGTTCAAAGATATAAAGAGGATCACAGAAGATTAAATGGACAATTTTGATTACATGAAATTAAAAGACTTTTATACAGATAAATATAGATTTAACAATAAACTAAAATTAGAAGGGAAACAGTTAATTAGGGGAAAAAATCTCTGTGGCAAGTTTCCCTGATAAATATCTCATCTCAAAGATATATAAGAAATGAGTTCAAACTGATAAGAACAAGAGCCATTTCCCAATAAATAAATTGTCAAAGGATATGCACAGGTAATTTACAAAGAAATAAATCCATGGTATCAACAACCATATGAAAATAATGCTTCAAATCACTAAACACCAGAGAAATGCAAATTAAAGAGGTTTTACCTTACACCCATCAGATAATTACCCCCTAAAAAAGAATGTAACAAATGTTGGAGGGGCTATGGTAATACAAGCATACTAATGAACTTTTGATGAATCTATGAATTGGTACAGCTACTCTGAAAAGCAGAAAGGAACTGTGCCTAAATAGTCACTAAATCGTGCCTACCTTTTGACCTAGGGATACCACTACTAATCCTATACCCCAAAGAGATCAAAGGAAGAGGGAAAGGACGCATATATACAAAAATATTTACAGCAGCTCTTTTTATATTGACAAAGAACTGTAAACCAAGGGGGAGTGCCATCAATTGGGGAAGGTCTGAACAAATTATGACATGTGAATTTAATGGAATATTATGCCAAAAGAAACAATGAATGGGATGGTTTCAGAGAAACCTGTGAATACACATTAACAAATGTAGAGTGAAGTAGGAAGGATTATGAGGACAGTTTATACAATAACAACCTTTTGATGTCACAAACAACTTTGAAAGACATAAGAACTCTAAGTAATACAATAAACAACCATGATCCCAGAGAATCAATGAAGTTTGCTACTCACCTCTTGACAGAGGAGTAATAGACTCAAAATTCAGAATTAGCCATATGTTTTTGAACATGGACAATGTGGAAATTTCTTTTGCCTGACTATACATATTTGTTACAATGTTGTACACATATTTTGTATACATATTTGTTCCTTTCTATTTTTTTTTCAATTTGGAGAGAGAATGAATAGCAATAGAGTTCTTTGCCCACAAAAAAAAAATGAGAAGAGAAAGAAAAATAAAAGGTATTACAAACAGGACAGCTTTGAAAGTTATATGTTAAGTTTATTATATTCTTAAAAAGAAAAGCAAGCTCTACATATTAGAAGTTCATAGTTTTATGTACAATCCCCTCCTGTTCTACAACATATATGGAAATACTCAAAATTAAAATAAAGATAAATAAAATAAGAAGGATGAGCTAGATGATAATCTCTAAGGCTCCTTTTAGTTCTAGTTCCTATGTAATAATGACTCATAACTATGTGGCATAAAACATTTTTTTTTATAAAAATCCTTTTGAAGTGACCAGAACATTCTTCTCTGGTCAATGTTAGGGACACAATGGCAAATTTCTACTCCCCAGCTTTAATTTTTCAATATTATCATCAAAAGCAGCCCTCTGTACTGCTAGCCTCACAGGTCTATTAAAAAGCTTAAACGAGATCATAAGTAAGGCACTTTGCAACTGTAAAGCATTATAAAACTTTAATCAGTTTTGCATACAGGCTAGATTTGTTCTCCAGATTTAGTTTACCTAAAATCTGAGAACGGCCTAGAACAGGTGTTATTTTCAGAGTGTATTGATATGATACTTACATATTTTCAAAGAGATTTTACGTTAGGGATATACCTTATATTTGGGATGACATAATATTATTGTACCTCTGGCAAACTGATCTTCCTAATACACATATTACTTTCTGCTCAACAATTTTTAATGGTTTTCTGATCCCATTTCATTGAATACAAGCTCTTCTGACCTGCTTTTAAGGCCCTCGTTATTCTAGTTTCATAATCTTTACCCTCTCCTTACTATCCCCCCTCATCCCATAATACTTCCTTTGCTCCTGAAGGTATCATCTTCCTTACCTGGATAGGGAATCCGGCCATAAGTGACAATCTCCATCAGAAGGATGCCGAAGGACCACACATCTGACTTGATGGTAAAGGAGCCAAAGTTGATGGCCTCTGGAGCTGTCCACTTAATGGGAAACTTGGCTCCTGGTGAAGGATAGAGTTGAGTCAAAAGAGTCAATTGCAGGGACAGGGGTAAGGGGGAGTTATGATGTGAATGGGCCCTGGTCCAGCATTTGTACCACTCTGAAGATCCACTGTCCATTTGGCAGATGCAGAAACAGGCTCAAAAACATTAAATGGCTTGCCTAAATTCACAAAGCAGTTATTGTTAGAGAGGGGCAATGACTGAGGTCTCCTAAGGCTCACCCTCTTTGTCTGTAGCTGATCTACAAGATTGAGGCCTGACAAAAAGATGTCAGACTGGGCATGAAGAAGGTTATAGCAGGATAATAGGGATAATTCAGAGAGAAAAGAGGCCATGACAGTGCCTACCCTCTCGAGCATTGTAAAAGTTGTCCTCAATGAGCCGTGCCAGGCCAAAGTCAGCAATCTTACACACCAGGGCCGATGAGACGAGGATGTTGGCTGCTCTTAGATCTCGGTGAATATAGTTCCTCATCTCAATGAAGGCCATTCCTTCAGCAATCTACAATGCCAAAAACAGAAAACCATCCTCAAACTTAAGCCAAATTCCAACCAGTAGAGGAGGAGCTAACCAAGTAAGTGTTACCCATTGTCTTCCTCCCCTCCCAGAACCCTTCCAGTCCCAGATTAAGATAAACCTGGGTCCACTAAGACCACCTGGCCTTGAATCAGCTATTGGACTTCTTCTAGATTGTTAGTCTTGAGAGATACCTCAAAGAGCATCTAATCCAACCCATACTTGAGCAAGAACTTTTCCTCGCTTGCACTTTGGACAAATGATCATCCAGCCATGAGGTGATTATGTCAAATTTTGGACAACTCCAGTTTAAGTTCTTTCCTATACTGAACTGAAATCTGTCTCCTTATAACTTTAAACCCTTTGTCCTAGAGCTGCCAACAGTAGAACAGGCTGTCCTGGAGGGTGGAAGTTTCCCCTCCCCTGGAGGTGTTCTAATGGAGGCTGGTTGACCACTTTTCAGAAATGTTGTAACAGGCTTGATCCCTGCTCTGATGAAGGTGGGACTGTATCTCCTCCACGACCCTTTCCAGGTCTGAGATTCTGTGTTCACTCCACCCCATCCTTGAAATGACTTGATATTCACTTTGTGCATATTATGTATTTACCTACATACATGTTTCTTTCAGTAGAATGTAACCTCCTTGAAGGTAGGGCATTTTCTTTCTTTTTTTTTTTGCCTTATTCCCATAACCTATAACAGTGCTTGGATTGTAAGGGCATTTAAATGCTTGCTAAATTGAATTGAATGGCTCTGTGAGATCACATAGAGTAAAGATGTTCCTTCTTCCCTGTAACAGCCCTGAATGTAAATAACAATTGTTTGTTTTTGGCCAGAAACCCTGAAGGTCTTCCCCTCCCACATCTTTTTTTTTTAATTTAAAGAAGCCATTTTTGGCCTCATTTTTTATTAAGTCTTAATTACTGAATGAGCACTGCCCCAGTCAAACTGAGACCTCTTAAAGACCTTAACTTGAAAAGGCCAAGGTCCCCCACTGCATCCTGGGCCATCTCCAGGTGTCCTGATCCATATCTGGCCACTGGACCCAAATGGCTCCGGAGGAGAAAGTGAGGCTGGTGACTTTGGACAGCCCTACCTCACTTAAACCCAATTCACTTGCACGTCATGGCATCACCTCCCTGATGTCATAGTCCTCTTCAAGAACAAAGGACAAATAGCAACCTATCAATTCCTCCCCACTCTCATCATCCAAGCTAAACATCCTTCAGATAATTGACCCTGTCAGTGTTAACTCAAGTCACTTGGACAAGCTGGTTGACTCAACGCTTTTTCACACTTTTTTCTTGGGGTGGGGGAGGAGGGCAGACCCACTGACAAACAGTTCATTTTTGACCTAGAGACAAATGTTATAATGGTGAAACTTCAAAAGTGATCTGAGTAAAGGGCTTTAGAACACAGAGTATTAAACCTGGAAGAGCCCAGAGAACTGAGGATTCAAATCCAAGCCCTGACTCCAAACATAGTATTCTTTCTATCACCTGCTATCACCTTAGAATGTGAATACAAAATGTCAGAACTTGAAAAGAACTTGGAACACAGAGCTGGAAGACAGCTTATAACTCTTCTGGTCCAACTTCTTCCTTTCACAGAGGAGGAAACAGGCCCAGAGAAGGGGCATGAAGTGCCTAATGTTGCAGACTAAGAGGCAGGACTTGGCTTTCAAACTCAAGTCTTCTAAGCCTAAATTCAGTAAGCTTTCAAATACCTCATGCTATCTTATTCAAGAGGAACCCAGGTAACCAGAAGCCTCAGATAACTGGGAATGCTTTCCTAGTCCATTTTGAGAGGATGGAAACAAATGATAAGGAAATCAACTCATACCAGGGATTACATACAAAAATCAGTCTCTAGGACACAGGGCAGGGTTATAGACTAGAGATCTAGGTGGCACAATGCCTACAGTACTGGACTCATGTCACAAAGACATGAGTTTGAATCTTGCCTCAGACAGTTATCTATGCGATCCTATGAAAATCACTTAATTTCTTTTAGATTAAGTTTCCTCATCTTTAAAATGAGGATAATAATAATAATACCTACTGTTGATATCATAAAGAAATTAGAGGAGTAAGAAATTACCAGGAAGATCTATGAGTAGGAGAAGAGTACATAACCAAACAAGAGATAGAGGGGTCACATAAGGAAAGGTGGACATTTTGATTATGTAAAATTAAAAAGTTTTTGCACAAACAAAACCAATACAGTAAAAATTAGAAGATAAACAGGTAAATGGGGGCGGGGAAATCTTTGCAGCAAGTTTCTCTGATAAAGGTCTCTTTTCTAAGATATATAGGGAACTGATTCAAATTGCATTCCCCAATTGATAAATGGTCACATGACTTGAACAGGCACTTTTCAGAGGAAGAAATCCAAGTTATCAATATGAAAAAATGCTCCAAATCACTACTATTTTGAGAAATGCAAATTAATGCAATTATGATATTCTACCTCATAATCTTCAGAGGGGCAAAGTTGACAAAAAAAAAAGAAAATGACAAATGCTGGAGGGGCTATGAGAAAACAGGTACATTAATGCACTGTTGATGGAACTGTGAACTGTTCCAGCCAATCTGGAAAGCAATTTAGAATTATATGCAAAAAGCTATCAAGCTGTGTATACTCTTTGACCCAGTGATACCACTATTTGGCCTATATCCCAAAGAAATCAAAGAAAGAGGAAAAGGAATTATACAGAAATATTTATAGCAGCTCTTTTGTGGTGGCAAATAATTGGAAACTGAGGGGGTGCTCCTCAATTGAGGAATGGCTGAACAAGTTATGGCATATGAATGTGAAGTTCTATTATGCTGAAAGACATGAGCAAGGTGATAGTGTCAGACAAACCTGGGGAGACTTGTATGAATCCATGCAGAGTAAAATGAACAGAACCAGGACGATAGTTTATACAACAACAACAAAACCAAACCACTTTGAAAGACTTAGGAACTCTGATCAATACATTGACTAACTACAATTTCAGAGGACTTACAATGAAACAGTCTAGTCATCTCCTGGTAGAGGGGTGATAACTGAGAGTGCCAGTTGAGATACTTCTTTTTACATGCCCAATGCAGGAATTTGTTTTGCTTGACTACACATGTTTGCCATAGGGATTTTGTTTTTCTTGATTTCTCAATGTGTGTGGGGGGGATGAGGGAGAGGGAGAGGGAGAGGGAGAGGGAGAAAGGTAGGAGGGAAAGAAGGTAGACCTTCATGAAAATAAAATAAAATTTAGTTTAAAAATAATAACACCTACCTCACAGGGTTGTTGTGGATCTAAGAGGATAATACATGTAAAGCCCTTAGTAAACTTCGTGAATACTGTAAATGTTAGCTCTTATTCTTACTAGGATTGGGACTGTGATTTCATTAGTATAGGAGACTCCTAGGTAAGAAAACTCCATTTACCAATGCAGGATGATGCCTTCTTTGCCACTTACGGTTTTTGAGAATTAAATGATTTGGCCAAGGCTACATAGCCAGTATATATTAAAGATGACACTGGAACCTGTCTTCTTGGCTCTGAGTCAACTCTAAGGTCCACTAGGTCCGTTATCAAAAGAAGGTTTCTGGCCTTATCTAACTAGGGAGCTCAAATAACTGGAACCCCACTCCCAAGAAGTCCTTAAAACCTGAGTTTGGCTGTATTTGTTTTAGTGGAGAGAGGGCAGAGAGAGTAGATTAGGTGCCCATGGACTTAGGGACCTACAACCAAGATGGTGGTGTCCTAGGTAGGCTACACCAGCAGATGGCAGCAAATGAACACCATTGTCCCAAAGCCAAACTGGTTCAGAATCTGATTCTTGGCTTTGGATTTGCTGAGAATCCTTCAGGCTCAAAGGACTAAAAAATGGAAGGGGCCTTAGAGGCCATCTGTTTCAATTCCCTCATTTTACAGATGAGGAAACTGAGGCCTAGGGAGCTAAGGTTACAGAGTTAGTAAATGGCAGAGTCAGATTTTAGACGCAGATTTCTGAACTCCAAAAACTAATGTTCTTTCCTTAACACCATATTCTTAATCTGGGGGTCTGTAGGCTCCTAAAGGGAGCCCTTAAGCTTGGCTGGGGAAAAATTATATCTTTGTTTTCAGTAACTACTAGGTGAAATTTGGTCTTTCTTTCAATTATTTAAAACCATTATTCTGAGAAGTGCTCTATGAGCTTTACTAGATTGCCAAAGGGGTCCACAACACAAAAAAAGATTAAGACCCCCAGCTTTGCATTGGGTTCTGACTCTGTAGTCAGAGGCTTGGGGTTGGACTTTTGGCTATATCACTAACTACTGGTGTAATTAGGAAAAGTCATTTACCCTGTCTGGGCTTCAGTTTCTTCATCTGTAAAAAGAAGGAGGTTAGACTAGATGACTTCTAAGGCCCCTTACAGCTCCAAATCTATGATCCTATGTACCATGCTACCTTTTACAGGCTGCTGGATGTGGCTGGCCTCTAGGGACTCAATTCAATTTAATAAATACACATTCATTTATTAAGAGCTCAGTTGTTAGGGTCTTTATCCCCAGGATGCTCTGAGGTAGGTGATCATCATCGACATCACTGATGAACATTCACCAGGGGCCAGGATTGGCCTTAAGTAAGATTGTCTCCATGTAATAGGAAGGACACTCAGCTGATTTCTGGGCCTGGCTCAGATTTGGTGTATGACCTTGGGCAAATCTCTTTATCACTCAGGGCCTCATTTTCTTCTCTCAAGTGAGCCGGTTAGCCTGTACACCTTTTAATTCCTTCCTTTTCCTAACATAGTGAGCTAGTGATAACGCCAGGACTGGAGAGGAGGTCTACAAGCTCTTTCCAGTGATTGTTATTATTAGGTTTTCTATCTTAATATTGTATGTTGTAAGGACCTTTCCTCCTCTGATATTCTGTTTTTTGAAGTCGGGAACAAAACAGTTTATTGTCTTCCTGGGGTATTGCACTGGAAATTTCAGAGCCTCATTTCCATATTGTTCTCCTGAGAATACCCAGGGAGGAGGTCCACTTATTGTATTTAGTTTGCCAATCTTAGGTTTGCATAGTCAAAGCCTCCCTGTATTTCCCTCCTGCATTGTTTTTAGGTGTTATCAGTGTTCCAGCCCTTCTCTGTGCTCATTATAGCATCTCTGGGATAGAAAATCTTCCCAAGCTCAGGTGGTGTTTCCCATCCATACCTCTCTCCTTTCAAGGCCTTCCTTGATGCCTTCAAATAGAAATGCCTCTTCTTCCTTTAAATGCTCATAGCACTTCTGGGGACTCCACTCAGGGTCCATATTACACCTTACCTTGTATCTGTATCCTGGTCTTAGCTCCTTACCAGAATGTTAGTTCTTGAGGAGAGGGACTGTATGCTCCTCATATTTTTATCCTCACTGGGCCTTGCACATAGTAGGGGCCCAGTTAATATGTGTGAATGAATGAACACTCTTGAGTCCAAGTGTGACCCTCTCCCCACTACATCATGTGGAATGAAAGCTCTCTGATAGCAGGGATTGTTTAATTCTTTGTATTTATAACTCTGGGGCAACTGTCTGGGACAATGGATACAGCTCCAGACCTGGAATCAGGAAGATCTTAGTTCAAATCTGGCCTCAGACACTTGCCAGCTGTATAAGGCAAGTCACTTAGCCCTGTTTGCCTTAGTTTCCTCATCTGTAAAATGAGCTGGAGAAGGAATTGGCAAACCACTTCAGTATCTTTGCCAAGAAAACTCCAAATAGGGTCATGAAGAATAAGAAACAACTAAACATTAACAATGTTTATAGCCCTGGAACCTAGCGTAGTGCCTGGCAAATTAAAGGTGCTTCATCAATGCTTATTTATTCATTGATTGATCATACTCTATTTGGATCCTAGTTATTTGTGTACCTGTCACCACTAGGGGCACCCTTCCCCCCAGCATCCTCTCTTGTTCCACCCCTTCCTACCCTAACCCTTGGCCTATATGCTTTACAATCTGGCCTGTCCGTATGCCCTGCAGTCCCTCGGCATTATGATCTGATCTACTTATATAAACTAAGGCTCCCTGGGCCCTGCTCTACCCTATCACTGTATCCTTAGGGACTTCAGCTGAGTTTCTTTGCTGTATTCTCTCTCCCAATTACAGTGTGACCTTTTTGAGATCAGAAACAGTCTCACTACTTGTTATTCCTAGCCTTTAGTACAGTGCTTGACACACAGTGTTTGATAAATGCTTTTTTCATTCATTCATTCATGACTTATCTCCCCTACAACTGTAAGGTTAGTGAGGCTAGGGACTGTCTTATTCATCTTTATATCTTCTCCATGGTCCAGCACACAGTAGGCACTTAATAAATGTTTAAATGAAGAATTCAGACAAGCAGAGAACAGGAGGATGAAACTTCAGGCAGAAGTAACAGTGTGAGCCTAGACACAGAAGTTGTAAAGCATAAGGGTGTTGAAGGCGGAATGGAGCAGTGACAAGTCTGGTCTTCCTAGAACAGAGACTTTAGATAGGGGACCAGTGAGAAATAAAGCTGGAGACATATTCTGGGATATTCAGCGGAGGAGCCTCGAAACCCCAGCTAAATAGTTTAGGCCGTATGAGGACTGAATGAGATCATGTATATAAAAGCACTTTGCAAGCCTTAAAGCACTACATAAATGTTGATACTATTATTATTATTATTTTCTATAGATAATGGGGAGCCGAGAAGGGAAGATATACTGAAAGAACTGCTTTTAGGAAGATTAAGACTTTTTTGGTCAAGATTGTTGGTGTAGTATCATGGAATTATGAGCTAGAAGGTAGCTTAAAACATAGACCATATAATGTCAGAGCTGGGAGGAACCTCAGAGATCACCTAGCTCAATCTCTTCATTTTACAGAGATAATACTGAGACCCAGACAGATGAAGTATCTTACCCCATGTCATACCCAGTATCACCAGGGCTGGAATTGGCCTTAAAAGTCAAGACCATCTCCATGTAGCAGGAAGGACACTCTGCTACAGAGGAAGATTAAGTAGCAGATACAGGGAACTAAACCAAATCCAGTGTTTATCCCACTGAGTTTCCACCCTATGGAGAACCCAAAGGAAAACAGCAAGGGGGTTGCTGGGATGGAAAAATGGGTCTTTCCCATGACTCCACTGGTAATGGGGGGGGGAAGAATTTCCCTAAGGAAGTTACCCTCTTACCTGGGCTGAGAAATCGATGAGCTTTGGCAGGGGTTGTTTTCGTCCTTCATCACTTTTCAGAAAGTCCAGCAGGCTTCCTAGTTGGGCGTGGGGGGGGGGGAGGAAGGTGGGAGAGAGCTGAGCAGGAGTTCAGGGGCCAGCTGGACCCACTAATCAACCCTGGCTCCCCAGCCCTATTATACAGTTCTTCCCAGGTCACGTCAGAGGTGGCCCTTGAGTCCAGGTCTCCTGAATCCAACGCAGTGCTCTATACAGTGCCTCAATCATTTCTTACTAACTAGACTGCTAGTTTTCCCTCTTTGGAGTCCCTGCAGTTCCCAGCACAGCGCAGGGCACAAAGCCTTTCCTTCAGCACAATGAGTTAGGGTGATGATCCCAGCTTTTTGCCTTCCCCTCTTCTCACCAAGGGCAAGGGTATTACTCTTCCAAATCTTCCTCAGGTGGTACACTGGGGACTTCTCTCTCTTTTCTAGACTGTGTTCAATGAATTCCTCCCCAATCCCCCCTTCCTCAGCTGTATGTGATCTCTCCTTCATCTGATCTCTTTTTATTCATCCAAGTACTTCAATCATGGAAATATAGTCTCAAAAGTGGAAGGTAGAAATATAGTGTCCAGAGTTAGGGAGTTTCATAAAAGCCCAAGTGCTATGTTACAGGAAAGGAAGAAATTACTATTTCCATGTTTCTGTGACTAGGGTAGGGACAGGGAGTGAAATTGACTGGGGTAGAAGTAATGAAGGCTTTCTGGAGGAGGCATTTGATCTGGGCCCTGATGGCAACCCTCACCTTTTGCCATGAACTCAGTGATGATGTAGATGGGCTCTTCCTTCGTGACCACGGCGTGCAGTTTCACAAGCTTATCATGTTGCAGAGTCTTCATCAGGTTGGCCTCAGCCAAGAAGGCTTCCACAGACATGCTCCCTGGCTTCATGGTCTTCACAGCTACCTTGGTGTGTTTGTTATAGGTAGCTGAAGGGGGACAGAAATGGGGTTAAGGAGTGATACCAGAGTGGGGATCCTAATGGGAACTGCCACCCACACTCTCTCTTTCTACTCTAAAAGACCTTTCCCAATTGCTCACACCCCAAGGAGGGAATCACCAATTTCTGGACTTCCTTTCTCAGAAGGGAAGAGAGTAACATAGCCTCTTAGGGACTTTAAAGGCATATTGACTTTTGGATAAGCTAGAGGATTTGGTTTCTTATCAGAGAAACTGCTTTTTTAAAAGTCATTATTCAGATCTATCCTTCCCTCTCCCACTCCTAGGTCCTTCTCAGAATCTTCCATCCAGCCCAGCCCAGGACTCTTACCCATCCAGACTTCTCCAAATTGCCCAGCTCCCAGTTTCTTCTCCAACTTCAGGGATTCCCTGGGGATCTCCCAGGCATCCTTCTCCCAGGGTTTCTGGGGCTTGGGGACCACACAGGGCCCTGTTAGCTTCTGGCATAAGCCATCACTTCCTTCTGCAACAGAGCCCTAGCGTTAGTTCTAGGTGACACCCACCAGCTGCAGAGGGTGTATCACCAAGAGTACCCAATTCTTTTTAGGGCAAGGAGCCCCAACCAGGCAAGCCTAACCTACTACTCAATTCTAAATTTTAACTTGGATGACTTCTAAACCAGTTGTGGCTGCTGTACCTATCCCACCCCAGACACTTAATATACATTCATAGTTAAGGATCCAAGAAATCATTTCTCCATTTCCTTCAGAGGCCCAGAAAGGAAAATGACTTGTTCAGAGTTACACAGTTAATTCTGAACCAAGTAGAACCAAATCTTCTGACTCCAAATTCAGTGCTTTTATCTCTACACCCACAGCCCCTTCAGATGCCTGGGATTCCCTAAGGAGGACACAGCTCTTGGCCCCAGGATTTGGGGAACACTTACTCTTGTAGTGGGCCACCAGATCCTGCAGAGTGCTAAAAGTGCTTCGCGGGGAGATATAGAAACCGCCGTTGTCCAGGGTCCGGATCTTATAATGTTTCACTGCATCCTGGTGCTGAGCGTCATAGTCCCGTATTGATAAGGAATAGCTGCCTGAGTGGGCAGGGGAGGAAAGATCTCTTGTCATGGGATATAAGTACCCCACCATCCTTCTTTAACCCTTCCCCCTTCCTTAACCCTCTCTGTCCTGGGCAGAGGCTCCCAGTACCATTCACATCATTTCCTCAGTCTTTCCTAGGGTACAACTGCCCTAGCCAGTGGGCTACAGCTGAATGAAAGAACTGTCAATGCCAATATAAAATTCCCCAGTTTGGTCATAAATGAGGTTGTTGGTGTTAAGCTTCCCTGTGTCCATTTTCTCATAACAACCTCATCCAGGCAAGCTTCCTTGGGAGCAATGACTTAGAGGCAAGCACACCCTAGTATAACCCAGACAAGCTGGACAAGACAGAATCTCATACCTCAAATCACTGCTTGCCCTGTACTGATATAAGCTATGTGATGGATAGAAACGATAAACCTTCAAACCCTCTATTAGCACCTACCCCCTAAAAATCATGATGACCATGCTGCAGAAGACAAGTCAAGTCAAGTGCCATGGCACCATGTGCTCCCATCTTCCAAACTCTCCCACATGCATACTGCACTCTCAGCTGAAACACACACCACAACCACTGACTCTCCCCCTCTCTGCTCTCAGGTTGGCTTCTGACCGCCATCCTTATCCTGGGCTGTGTAGCTTCCAGCATCCTCTAGATAGCCCCCATCAAAATGCAACTGATCGTTCCTCTTCTCAACCACTGTTAGGGTAGTGAGAGGCAAGGAGGTAATCTTGGTGCAAAGGGTAACAATGGAAACTCTCTCCCACTTTAACCCAGACAGTAAAAAAGTCAACTGGATGAAAAACAACTTGGACTTTGGCTGCAGAAGATTGCATATGGTGTCAGATAAAGTTACTGTGTCTATGAGTTTTGCTTCACTCTGCTTCTTTGTTACAAAGGAGGGTGGTATATAGACCATGTAGTCAAGTTGAGTCTTGACTCCAAATCTTTTACACTGAGCCTGTGAACCTGCTAGGAGAAGACTGCTCCTCTCCTGCCCTTTACTCCAGAATCATCTCCAACTAGCCATAATCTTATAAGCACACACACACCTCTATACAAATACTGACAGCAATTCCCATTTCTATAGCACTTCCATGTTCATGGAAGTGCTTTCCTCACAATGGCTCTGTGAGGTAGGAAGCAAATATTACTATTCTCATTTTGCAGATTAGAAAACTGAGCCCTAGAGATGGGACTTTCCCAGGGTCATATGGCTGATTAAATGGAATACCTAGAACTCGAACCCTCATCTTTCTGGGTCCAAGACCAAGGTTCTTTTCACCTTATCACAAAGCATGTACAAAGGCACATATATACATGCACATGGAAGCATGAACACACAGAATTATCCAGACACTCACACATGCAGACATCTTTTTTTTTTGTTGTTGTTTTTTAGTCTCTACCATAGTTACCACCCTTCCACTCTAATCAAGTACAATGAGGAAATTCTGGGCATCTTGGGCTATAACATACTGGTTGGTTCGCAGGGGCATAGATTTAGAAATGAAAGCAATCATAGAGATCAACAGATCTCTTGTTTTACAGATGAAGAAACTAAGGCTCAGAGAAGTTTAGTAGCTTACTTAAAGCCATGCTGGCAACAGAGTCTAGATTTGAACTCAAGTCCTATGACTTTAACCTAGAGCTTTTTCTGCTCTATTATACAGTTAGAACCTTGCAATGTTGCTTAACAGGTGGATTCAATTCATCACTATTCATAGGAGAAGATTCTAAACTTCCTCCTTTATTTTCAACCCCCCTTCTACATTTCTTCCTTATCCCTCTCTCTCACCTCAAAAGACTTTACCTCTTACTTTACTAAGAAAATTAAGGCTATCCAGTGTAAGCTCCCTCATCCCCTCTATTCCACACCTCAAAACTCCTCTACACTTTTACCCACCCTCTTTTCCTTTTTGATAATTTCCAAGAAGAGGCAGCTAGGTGGCTTAGTGGATAGAGCACCTAGCTTAGAGTCAGGAAGACTCATCTTCCTGATTTCAAATGCAGTCTCAGACACTTACTAGCTGTGTGACTTTGGGCAAGTCACTTAACCCTGTTTGCCTTCATTTCCTCATCTGTAGAAGGAGCCAAATGGGGTCATGAAGAGTGAGACATGACTCAACAAGACAATCTATGAGGAAAAAGGAGTTCTTCTCCTTGTCAAGGCCAACTCAGTTCCTCTATTTTGTACCCCTGATCCCCTCCCTTCCATCTCTTCTAGAAATATGTTCTATCCTGGGGTGGGGAATCTGAGGCCTTGAGGCCACATGTGGCCTTCCTTGAGTGTGGCCTTTTGACTGAGTCCACGTTTTACAGAACAAATCCTTTTATTAAGGGGATTTGTTCTGTGAACAAATCTCTCTCACCTTTAATCTATCACATTCTGTTGGTTCCTTTCCTGCTGCTACAGACACTCCCTATGTCTTGCATTCTTAGAAAGCCTTCCCTTGACTCTCTCACCCTTTAAGCTAGTATCCTGGAGATCTCCTCTGTTTCACTGCCAAGTTGCTGGCCTCTTCTCTAGCTATCTTCACTTCTGCACCACCTACACACATCTCCCTCTTTTAGAAAGTGTCTTCAGCTCCTACCTCTTTGCTAAAACAACTCTGTCAAAGATTACTAATGATTCCTTCCCTTCTAAATCCTATTGCCTTTTCTCAGTCCTCAACCTCCTTGACTTCTCTGAAGCTTTTGCCACTATTGGACACCCCCTCCTCCCAGATATATTCTCAACTCATGGTTTTCATGACACTGTTCTCTCTTGTTTTTTCTCCTAGCTGTTTGATTGTTCCTTTCCCCTCTCCTTTGATGATCCTTCTTGTGACCCCTAAATATGATTGTTCCACAAGGCTCTGTCTGGGGCCCTCTTCTCTTCTGGTTCTACATCATCTCCCTTGGTGATCTCACCATTTCCCATGGGTTCAATGAGCATCTCTCTGCTGATGAATCTCAGTTCTATATATCCTAACCCTAATTTCTCTCCTCAGCTCTAGTCCCCCATCACCAAATATTTGCTGGTTATTTCTACTTGGATATCCCTTCCGCATATCAAAATCTATATGTCCCAGCTGACCTACTCATTTCTCCCTTTATATCTGACCTTCTTCCAATCTTCTTTTTTCTTCTATTGAGGGCACTAACATTCTTCCAGTCACCTAGATTCACAGTCTCAGAGCCATCCTTTCCTCTCTCCCCTCTTATATCCTCCATATTTATTCAGTGGCCAAATCTTGTTAATTCTGCAACTACATGTCATGTCAATCCCTTTCTTTCTACTCAAAATCTAGCTGTGGAGACAATATATACAAACGGAGGCATATACAAAACACATAGAGGGGGGGCCAGACAGTACAAATCCACGGATGTGAGAGATGGAATGTCATGTATGAGGAAGAATAAGAAAGCCAGTTTGACTGGTAGAAAAAAGGGAAGAAAATAATCTGGAAAGGTAGCTGGGAGTCAGGCTGTGAAAGATTTTAAGTGCCAAACGGAAGAGTTCATATATTTGATTCTGCATGTAATAGAGAGCCATTGCTGTTTACTGAGTGGGGGAATGACATGATCAAACTCATACTTTAGGAAAATCACTTTGGTAGCTATGTGAAGAATGAATTAGAGTAGGCCTTCACAACCTGTGGCCTGCTGGCTGTAAGTGGACCACAGGCACAGCAAACGATTTCAAATGGCTGGCAAAAGATGTAGAAGATGTTTTCCTGTACATTTTTCCCCAGCCGCCCAAAATCTTTTGGTATGCTGCAAATGGCCTGTGGGCTGCAAGTTGTGCAGGCCTGACTTAGAGATACAGGGAGAACAAAGGCTATTGCAACAGTCCAGATAAGAGATGGTGGCAGTCTGAACTAGGGTGGCAGCTGTGCAAAAGGGAAGACAAGGATAATTTGAGTGATGTGGTGAAATAAGAACAGTAGATTTGACAACTAATTAGATATATATGGTGAGTGAGAGTGAGGGTAAAGATGGCAAAAAGGTTGGGTACCTTAGTGACTGAAGTAATGGTAGTACCCTCTACAGAAATAGGGAAGTTTGGAAGAGGAATAGATTTAGGAAAGATAATGAGTTTATTTTTGGACATGTTGAATTTGAGATATCTTCAGAACACTGAATTCTAAATGCTCAGCAGGAAATTGGTGATGCTAGACTGAAGCTCAGGAGACAGTCTAGGACTGAATAGATAGATCTAGGAATCATCTGCACAGAGATGATAATAATTAAACTTATGTGAGCTGATGTTGTCACCGAGAGAGTATAGAAAGAAAGAGGATCCGGGATGGAGCTTTGGGGGGACATCCAAAGTTAGGGGACAAGGTATGGATGATGATCCAACGGAGACTGAGAAGAAGTAGTCACATAGATAGGAAAAACAAGAAAGAACAGGTTAAGAAAACCCAAAGAGGAAGGAGCTTTCAGGAGAAGAATATAGTTAATAGTGTCAAATGTGGTAAAGAAGTCAAGAAAGATCAGGAATGAGAACAGGCCAAAAGATTTAGCAATTAAAATCAGTGACTTTCAATGGAACAGTTTCAGCTGAGTGATAGAGTAAGAAGCCAGATTGAAGAGGTTGAGAAGTGACAGGACAGGAAGGGGAGGCAATGAAAGTAGATGGATTTTTCTAGGCTGAGAAAGGAAGGAGAATGATAGTCTGAGGGCTCGAATAGTTGTAGTAGGATCAAGTGCTGGGTTTTTTAAGAGTGGGAAAGACTTGGGTATATTCATAGACAAAGAGGCAGTAGAAAGAGAGAGATTAAAAACTAGAGAGGTCTACTGGATGATAGTATGGACAATCTGCTGGAGAAGAGAGGATGGGATCCAGAATGTACATAGAGGGGTTGGCCTTGGCAAAGAGAAATGCTATCTCTTTATTGGGGATTGGAGTAAAGGAGGGAGAAAAATGGGGGATCATGTCAAGGGGTTGTGAGATGAAAAGGAGAAAGAAGGGAGCTTAGGCAAATGGTTTCTATTTTCTTGAATAGTCAAAGCCTACAGTTGCAAAGCAAGAGATGGTGTGGGAAATGTTAAGAGATTTGTAATAGCTACTGTGGGGGATGGAGCAGAGGCTCAATTAGGGAGGAGTAAAAGGATTGTCTTGCAGTAAGGGCCCAGTTAGAGATTAGATAGCAAATTTGTAGTGGACTCTTCAAAGTTGTGTGACTTTCTCCAGCTCCATTCAATAGCACATGAGTAGGAATAGAGGAGGAGTAAGCCAGAGCTGGAGTTTTGTTGGGCTTTACTCTCCTTCACATAGTCCATGTTGTTCTTCAAAGTCAAGGTTCATCTCCCACCTCTGCACATCTGTACAAGCTGTTGAATGAACTCCATCTTTTTTCAAAGTATACTTTAGAAACTGCCTCTTTCAGGAAACTTTCCCCTATCCTCTCCCCTGTCTGTGGTCTCTCCCTACTCAAATTACCTCGTGTTTACTTCTGTGTATACATGAATGCCCCAACAGGATGTAAACTCATTAGGGGAAGGACAATTTTGCTTTTGTATCCCAGTGACCATCACAGTGTGTGGCACATAATGTGTGCCCAATAAATGTTTGTTGAATTGAATAGTAGAAATATCCTTGGACACAGAGACAGAAAATCTGAGTTCAAATTCTAGCCAGGCCATTCACAAGTCACTTCCCTTTTGAGTTTCAGTTTGCTCATCTCTAAAATGGGATAATAGTATTTGTACTCTCTACCAGGGTAGTTTAAACTTGAAAGCCCTAAAGAAATGGAAACTGCTATTATTACACCTCACTCAGGTGTTTGACTAAGGAAAAGGCTATGTCCATATGTTAGGGCTGGGATGCTCCAGGGGGACCGCTCCTCACTTGTCCTCCAGGAATCATAGGACCATAAAATGTTAGAACTTGAAGGGGCCTTAGAAATAATCTAGTTCAACTCCCTCATTTTATATAAGTTTAGAAACCAAGGTCCCAAGAATGAAAGAGACTTGCCCGACATCACACAGGATGGAATTTGAAGCCTAAGCCCATGACCTCAAATCCAATACTCTTTTCACTGTACCAGCTTGGGACCACCTGCCACCCTGTGTCTCACTGCCACCTGAAGACTTACCTTTGGTGGTTTCACTGTCCCGAATCATGAAGGAGCCCAGGACGTTCCCAGGTGCCAGCAGGTGACGCTCTGCATCCTTACGGCTGATGTCTTTGAAGAACCATCTGTGACAGGAGAAGAGCAAGGTGTGGGGGTAGTTGTGGGAGCCGAGAACCAGGACAGCCCACAGTGCAACCTTGCCTCCAGGGGCATGCTGGGGTCACAGTAGAGAATCATAGTAACTCTGAGTGATAGAGTAGACTGTGAGCAACATAACTGGCCTGGGATTTAGAGAAGGCAGTCCCAAAGGTAAGAAGGTGAAGACGTTAAACTAGATTCTTTCCATTCTTCAAGGCCCAGCTCACATGTTACCCTCTCTATGAAGCTTTCTGTGATCTCAAAGACTTCACACTTTTCCTCCAGATTTATCATATCTGGATGTGTCTTATATTCATCTATGTCCATGTCTTATCTGCCTACTAGACTGTAAGCTCCCTGAGGATTAGCATGTATGTCACTTATTTTTGTATTTCCTTGAGAGTTGAACACAGAGCCCTACATATAGTAGGTTCTTAGTGTTTGTTGAATGAATGGAGAGAGATCTAGGATCAAGGATTTGAAGGGGTGCATAGGGTGAGAAAATGTGATGTTTTCACCTCCAGGAAACATCTGGTAATGAAGAGATTTCACAGAGCACCATGGCCTTAGAGTGCAGCAGAAAGAATTTAGGTTAGACTTAATGCAGAACTTAGTATTTGGGAGGATAGGCTTCAGAGAGAGGCTGTGATACTTTTTCTGGGAAGATATTTTAGAACAGGGTAGATCTTCATCTGTCTGAGATGGTCTAAACTAAAGCATCCCAGATTGGATATAGATCATGATCACCCTCTCAACCCTGTGCATCTCTAGACTTCCTTCTCCGAGGGTAGGCAACAGGTATACTTACTCCTCTGTCTCCAGCGAGTTGATCTGAGCCACATAGTTACTTGGGATATAGCCTTCTTTCCGGGTTGCAAGAGAACGAGCTTTCCACCACTCTCCAGACCTGCAGGAGGAGGAAATACGATCATCCCACTGTGGTAGAACTAGAGTGCTTCAAACCAACCTTTAGCCCCTCTGTTTCTTCACTAGGGAGTGAGATAGAGAACTCCAGACTTGACCTGAAGGTCAAGGAGTGTCAGAGTTGGGCATCCAACTGAGGAGGGGGTTGGGCTTATTATTTCTTAATTATTTCTAAGGTCCATTCCAGCTCTAACCTGAATGAGGGTTACTTTCATTCATACAAAATAGGAGTTATGTTCTCCTTCAAAGTTCTCTTAAGAAGCTTCCCTGAGCTTTGCAGGTGGCCCTGGCTCCATATAAGCTAAGAAGATATCTAGTGCAGGTGATGGCTGATGACTTATCTGAGGACCAGCAAGTGTGAACAGGCTCAGCACCAAGAAGATAGACAACAAGAGATGAAATCTTATGACCACAAAAACTGTGGGTGTTTGGGGACAGGAGTTGATCTTGGCTAAGACAGGACTATAGGCAGCAAAGAGGCTTGCCTGTCTCTTCCAGAGTTTTGACATGAACCTACTGTAGGCTCAGTCACATTCAAGAAGACAAACACCAGACCAGGACCCACTTTTCTAGGACCACCATCTGGTCACCCTTCTGGAAGCTGAGGTCCTCACTGTGGATGGCCTCATAGTCATAAAGGGCCACAACTGTGATGTCCATCTTCTCAGAGCCTGTTTGGGGAATGGAGACACATGTATCATCAGGAACTGTCAGGCGATGGCTAGGCCTACCTTCCCCCAACCCCTACCTGCCCTCCATCCCCTGGACTCCTCCTATGTTTCTCCTTCCTATGTGTTACCTTTCTCTTTACAAAAGAACTTTTACTATAAATTTAATAACAATTTTAACAAATATTTAAAGAAAACACAAACTAAACTGTAGAATAAGAACAAGAAAATGAAGAATAAGGATAAGAAAAGTAGAGTAGAAGGAGCACTAGATTGTGAATTAGGGGCCTTGGGTTCTATTGCTGGTTCTGGCATTGAGCAAGTCACTTCTCCCCCTCCTCCCCTGTCTACCCTGTACTTTCCTCTTCTGTAAAATGGGAATAAGAATACTTGTCCTTTCTGTCTTATGGGATTGTTGTGAGGAAAGGATGGTCCTATCAGAATATGAGCAGCTATTATTATCATTGTCCTCAGAGGTGTCAATAGGGCCATCACACAAGAGAATGTGTATAAGGTACTTTGTGAACAGCAAAGTACAATAGGAATGTGATGTTATTTTTTCATTATCGTCTTTTATACTCTAAAAGACTACATAGAATACCTATTATACAAAATGACAGTAACATCTAATTTGTTCAGTATGTCCATCTGAGCTTTTATAAGTGTATAGAAAATTTTGGTGTTATTATTTATAACTTCAGAATGTTTTTTGTCAAGTGGTGAAGGGCTTAGCATCACAGTGTCATATAAAGAGCATTGCGTGAGAAATTAGGAGACTTCAGTTCTAGACCTTGCTGTGTGACCTTGGGTGAGTCCTTTCCTTGGGCCTCAGTTTCCTCCCTCTGGAAAAGGAGCATATTGGAATAGATTGTTTTAGAAGGAGGGGAGGAAGGAGGGAGGAAAAGAGAGGAGGATAGAGAAGGGAAGAGGGGAGGGGAGGAAGGGGAGAGGACTCAGAAAAGCAAGGAAACCTTGGTTTCCAAGGCAAGATGCTTCCTGCCTTGGAGCTTCTCTGTGTAACTCCCAGTTCCCTATTCCTTTCCACCTCACCATGTCCCGGTGTGACTAGAGATCACATACCATCAGAGGAGATGACCTTATTGACGCTGGAAGCACTGACTACCTGTAGAGAGTGAAGAACAGGGTCAGGATCAAAGGAAAAATGAGTCTGGGGCTTGACAGGGATCTCAAAGTTGAGCCTCTTTATTTTGTAGAGGAGGATACTGAAACACAGAAAGGGCATAAGACTTGTCCAAGGACACAACAGAAAATAAATGGCAGAGATGGAACTAGATACTAGGTGTCCAAACTCCAGCCCAAAGCTCTTTCCGCTGTTCTATACTGCCACCTGAAATCCTCAGCAAGCTGAGAACCAGTGGGAAGATATATCATCTCCTGGAGGGATGAAAGGAAGTGGGAGGGAAGGGGGATACAGGAAGAGTTGGGCAGTGGAAAGAGCCCTGTACTTGGAGCTAGAGGATCTAGGTTCCAAATCTGTTTCTCCTAGTTACTCTCTGTGAACTCAGGCAAGTCTTAGTTTCCTGCTCTATAAAATGAGAGGTGAACTAGATAATCTTTGAGGTTCCTCCTAGCTCCAAATCCTGTGATTCAGTTGTTATGGACAAGCCTGAGGCACCCTGGGATAGGAGGAAATGAAATGCTGCAGCAAAAGATGGCTGAGAGTCTGGGATCTTGCATAGTAGGTGATAAATAAGGGAGGGCTGGTTTCCAACTTTGTGTCAGATTCATCAGGGTCTTAAGGTACTAATACAAGAGGGTACTGGAGATTTGGGGATAAAGAATCAGCCACCTTCTAGAATCTTCAGAGCAGATCTGCCCAAGGGCATTGGAGACCAACACCATGGACTAAGGCCTCTCTTTGGGCACTCCCCCCACAAACAAGGTGAGGAGAAGATAGAAAAGAAATGGCACAAGTCAAACTCATAACATAATGGGGAATTCACTCTTCCCACCAAACCTGAAGCCTTGCTCACCTCTTTTCCAGGGGATGTTGGATCTGGCACATACACAGGGCCCTTGGTATTTGTTTGAGACTCTTTTTTGAAGAACTTCCCACCATCCTGGGTAAACCTGGACTTCACACACCCCATCCTGGGATAGAAAAGGGGGAATGTAGCTCTGTGCCCATAGCATCCCCATGGACCCAATCAACCCATTAATGATGATATCCTTTTCTGGGTGTCCAGTATAAAAGACTCTATATTCCAAGGGGCAAGAGATACAAGTACAATAGAGATGATTATGGTTTTGCAATATAATTGGCATAATTAATCACATAAACAAAAACCCCAATACCATATAATTATATTAATGTATATAGAAAAAATTTTCATCAGGATACAACATTCACTTATTTAAAACAAATGAAACAAAACAAAAGCACGGACATGGGTGGGCCCTTCTTTAATGTAATCAAAAGTACAGATCCAGAACTAAGAGCTAGCATTATTAGCAAGATAGAAGCATCGAAAGCTTTTCAAATAAGCAAAAGGGTAAAACAAGGATTTCTCCTCTCCCTGCTATTATTTGACATAGCACTAGAAATACTAATGATAGCAATAAAAGAAGAAAAAGAGATGAAATATAAAAACAGCAATGAGGAGGCAAAATTCTCCCTTTTTGCAGGCAATATTAATCACTTATGTAGAAAGCCCCAAAGAATCAGCAAAGAAATGAACCACAATGATTAACAGACTTATCAAGATAATAGGATACAAAATAATCCACAAAAATCCCTAGCATTTTTATATAGTACAACAAAAGTACATTACATTGCACCTCTAAACAATGGAAAAAAGAAATGCCACTCAAAATACCTAGAAAAAACAGAAAATATTTGGGTGTTTACCTAATAAGTCACAAAAACGATTTGTAGGAAAATATTATTAAACATTCTTTACCAATGGAGCCAGAGGGATATACAGACTCTCTCAGGGGGAGTCCTTTCCTATTATTCCTTGGGTATCAGATACTCTGTTTAATATTACCCCCACCTACTGGAAATTTCACTCTTAAATTCAGCATGTTATTAATGAATCCCTTAGACCTCTTGGGATAGTGAAAGCAAGACAGTTTAATTAATGGTAACATAAAAAATGATAGGAACAATAGCAGAAACTCTGTGCCTTCTTTATAGAAATAAAGGAAGGCTTAAATAATTCATTGCTCATGGTTGGGCCACACTAATATAATAAGATGATTCTACCACCTACTTTAATTTATGGATTTTTTTTATTATGTCAACCAAACTGCTGCGGGTTTCTTTCTTATTAACAAGACGTGTGAAGAAAATAATGAAGAAGAAAAGGAATAAAGAGGGCCTAGAATTACAAGGACACATAGGATATGATAAAGCAGTAATAATCAAAACTATTTGGTATTATTTTAAAAAAGTGAAAAGTAGATCAGTGGAACCATCTAGAAAGTGAAGATGCAGAAGGCAAACACAGTACCCCAGGATTCTGTAATCTCAAGAACACATTGCTGGGGAATAGATTCCCTAGTTAACGGGAAATATTGGGGAAACTGGAAATACTAGAGGCAGCTGGTGGTGTAGTGGATAGGGTGCTGGGCCTATCAGGAGTCCAGAAGTCCTGAGTTCAAATGGGGCCTCAGACACTTACTAGCTGTGTTACCTTGGGCAAGATACTTCACCTGTGTCAGTTTCCTCAACTGTAAAATGGGGATATCTACCTCATAGGGTTGTTGTGAAGATCAAATGAGATAAGAATTGTAAAAATCCCTGAGCACATTCCCTGGCACATAGTATTAATGCTGTATGAATGCTTATTCCCTTCCCCTACTATTATTATTAATAAAGAAGACATTGTGTGTATATAGCATTTCATGGTTATAAAGCATTTTCACATTCACCTGTGCTGAACTAGAACATTCAAGGCAGCAGACAGTGAACATGGTAGGCAATTGGGTCAACTCTTAGCTACTGCAACAGGGGCTGCAGGAGAGCCAGGAGGGCACAATAGATAGAGTGTTGAAATTGGCATCTGGAAGACTTGAGGTTGAGTCTCATCTCCGGGATTATCTGAGTTACAACAAGTCATTTAATCTTTCTGACCCTCAGTTTTTTCATCTATAAAACAGGGAGTAGAGCTCTTATCCTCATGGGTCCTGTGATGATGGAAAAAGGTATCAGTTAGTTCTCTCTCAAATGCCAGGGAAGAAGGGAAGGATTGGGCCAGGTGTCAGAGGCCCTCCTCTTAATGGTAGGAGTACTGGTTTCTGAGGCTCTGGTCTTGGGCTTGTGTTCTAAAGGCAAGGAAGGGCTTGCTTCTTGAGGCTCTGGGCTTAGAGATAAGTCCTCATGTCTGAGCTAAGAAAGTAAATGCTGTCTTAGGCTGCATGAAAGAAAGACGTGGCATCTAAAATGAAAAAGCCCACAGGACTTTGCTCTGGTTAGATCATATCACAATATTTTGTCATTCATCCCCTACCTCCATTCCCATTCCCATCCTAGTCCAGGCCCCCATCACCTCTTGCTTGATTTCTGAAATAGTTTCTTATCAGGTCTTCTTGCTTCCAATCTCTTGTCCTACAACCCACAGCATCTAAGTCAGCTTCTTAATACACACCTGTGATTATGTCCTACCCTCCATCCCCATAATCAATGAACAAGCATTTATTAAGCACTTTACTATGTACCAGCCATGATGAAAAGTGCTGGAGATACAAAAAGAGAAACAATCCCTGCCCTCAAGGAGCTAACGTTTTAATGGGGGAAGACAACATATAAAAAAAGGAGCTGAAAAGTAGGAGGTGGACAAGAAGATAGAGTCAATAGTCAATAAACATTTATTAAGCACCTACAATGTTCCAGGCATTGTGCTAAGCACTGGGTATACAAAGAAGGGTGAAAAACAATCCCTGCCTTCAAGGATCTCACAGTCTAACAGGAGACTGCAAATAAAAAGAAGCTAAAAGAGAAGGAGGAGGGAGGAAGAGGAAAGGGGGAGGGAAAGGAGGAAGGGAAAAGGGGGAGGGAAAGGGCACCCTGTGAAGGGGCAGGATGAATTCCTGTAGCCGGCTGGGAAATGATGAGATGACTATCCTGGGCCCCTTCCTTAAATAGAAGATCTGGGAGGAGCTCTCCCTATGTTCACCCCACCCCCACCCCATCCAATCATCTCACTCAGCTGCTCATCTGGACTTCATCATTGTCTCCAGAAACTCATTTTCCTATAAGATCACATCAACTCGGAAACACACCTCCTTAGTGGCCCTTGCCCCTTGGGCTCCTCTGATTAGAGGGAAGGAAGTAACCACTCGAAATCCAGGGAATCAGGGCTGACTGGCCTGGGCCCTTCTCCAAAACAGAGATTCTAGGAAGAACTCATCAAAGGGAAAAGGGTTACGTTGGGGCAGAAGCGGAGGAAGCTGAGGCATGGTGGCTAAGTCTCTTGCTCAAAAAACCTTCGATAGTTCCCTAGTTTTGTTCAATGCAATGACCTCAAGTCTGAGAAGCCAAGAATTTTGGCTGTGACCATAATAGCTAGCCAGGTGTTGAGCAAATTATTCTCCCTCATTGGGCTTCAGTTTCCTCATATGGAAAATAGGGGGTGGGACTAGATAAATTCTATGTTCTGTGAATAAAATCTAAACTCCTTTGTTTGGCATTCCAGGCCTTTCACAATTTGTTCTCAACCCACCTTTCTAGCCTTCCTCCCTCCCTCCCCTCCTCCCCTCTTCCTACCCTGCCACTGCTTCTCTTTACACACACTCAGCTTAAAGGACTGTTCGCTCATCTCTTGCTTTCACTTTCCCCTACTTCTGAAATTCCTCCTCTCATCTCTGCCTCTCATGCCTGCTCCTCATTAAAAAAGTCATCCAACAAGTTCCATCTTAGATACCTCCTTCTCCAGGGAGACTTCTCTAATTCCTTCCCCCACTCATTTGAAGTGATCTTACACCACTTTGACCCTCTCAAGTTTTCTTCACATTCTTCCATGCATGTTTTTTGTGTTCTTGTCTAATCTTTCTACTAGACCAGGGAGTCTTAATCTTTTGGTGAAACTTATGGACTCCTCAGAATAACATGTTTAAAAACATAAAATAAAATACATAGGATTACAAAGGAAACCAAAGGTTAGTGAAAATAAAGATGTCATTATTTCCTATACAAATTCATAGACTCCTTGAGTGTCTGTGGACCTTAGGTTAAGAAATGTCTTTACTAGACTGTGATCTTTGTGAGGCCATGAACTCTCAATCAAAAGACCTCAAAGAATGTTGGAGTTGAGAGAGGCCTGAAAATGACCTTAGTGCATAGAATGTAAGGACTGTAAGGGATCTTTGAGTATATAACAGTGGTTCCTAACATGTGGACTGTGGACCTTTGTGGGGGCTCATAGAATTATTGCAAGGAATCTCCCAATCTAAAGGCAGTGTAGTGGTGCAATGTGGATAGTACACTAGACTCGAGTCTAGTGAGTCAGGAAGACCTGAGTTCAAATCTAGCTTCAGATACTTATTAGCTATGTGAACCTGAACAAGTCACTTGACCTCTCAGCCTCAGTCTCCTCATTTGTAAAGTGGGGATAATAATAGCATTTACCTCCCAAGGTTGTTGTGAGGATCAAATGAGATAATATAGGTTTTACAAACTTTACAAACTTTTAAGTGATATATAAATGTTCATTGTTGTTATTGTTGTTACTATGTGCACACCACACTTTGTCATTTATATTACATTTCATTTGTTGTTGAGAGGGAAAAAAGTCCTTTGAACCTAATCTTCATACACAAAAAGCACCTGGTTGACTTGTGACTACCTGTTTTTTTCTGATTGCCCAGAGCCATCTGATAAGGCTAAATGGACCAGATGCCTTTTCTCTACAACATATGTTTGTGAAAGTGGATTTTCTGCACTTGTTCTGAAATCTAAATAGTGAAGCAAGTGGCATGTGGAACCAGCTCTAAGGTTCATAATTTCATCCCTTCAACTAGACTTCCAGTACTGAAAGCTACATGCTGGGCTCTATCCACTATCTCATTAAATAACAGGGCGTGACCAACAAGTAAGCATCCTTTGCGAACTGAATAAGGCATGTCTCCTATCACAATGTTTCAAGTGGACACAGATGCTGCTGTAATTGATAAAATATAAATTCACTTAAAAGCTTTATCAAATTCATTGTAACTTTTGGTCAGGCATTTTGCATATTTTTTTCCATCAATATATGTAGTGGTGGTCCTTAAATTTTTTTTATCATTAAGAAAGGGTCCTTAAACTCTGAAAAATTGGGAACCACTGGCATAGAACATAGATGCCATAACTACAAGAGTTCTTAGAGACCATTTGGCCCAACTAGATAATTTTTCAGATAGGAAAACTGAGGTCTGGAGAAGAGATGCTATGGACTCAAGGTTTCCTAGAAGACCACATATCCATGGCCACAGATTCGCTTGCTCTCATACTAACCTCAGAACCCCAGGACAGGTTACAGTGGATTACTGTCATTTTCTGAAGTGTGAAATTGAAGCCCAAATGGAAGAAGTGACTTGACCAAGACATAAAGAGGACAAGCTCAAAACTACCGAGTAGCCAGGTGGTGCAGTGGATAGGATGCTGAACTGGAGTCAGAAGTTCAAAATCCAGCCTCAGACGCTTGTTAGCCATGTGACCCTGGGAAAATCACTTAACTTCTGTTTGCCTCAGTTTCTTCAACTATAAAACAGGGATGACAATAGCATCTACCTTATAAGAGTTGCTGTGAGGATCAAATGATGTAGAATTTATAAAGCACTTGGCACATAGTTTGGGCCTAGTAAATACTTATTCCCTTCCCCCCCCAGTCTTTTTATACGCATACAGTTCTCATTTAGCCCCCTCAAAAAAGAAAAGAAGAAACAAAATACCCCAAACCTCTGGTCTCTATCTACCATTCTCACCTTAGGGAAATGAAGGAGAAGTGGTCAGCTATCTGGGATGGATCTATTACTATCATTTTCGCCACACCAGCCAGTGCACTACACCCACCACCCACCAAGCCCTTTACATTTTGTCCCAGAAAGAAGCTTTTGAAGGACAGAGTCTAGGGGTTATTCACACCTTTCATTACCAATGAGCAGACAGTGCTCAGACTCTGTACAGAGCAAGAGAATAGAAGAGGCTTTGTCTTCCAAAAGTTTCCGATCTAAGGCAGGGCTCAGAAGCAGCACTGTATGATGGAAAGCTCCAGTCCAGGCACTGGAAGAGCTGTGCTCTGCTCTAAGTTGTGTGTGACTTTGAAAAAGTCAATTCCTCTTTCTGGGCCTCAAATTCCTTCTCAGTAAAAGAAAGGGATTGGACTAGGTGATCCAAAGAGGTCTTCCAGTCTTGACATTTCATATTTCTAGATTTCTTCCAGTTCTAAGTTTCTCTGATTCTGGTTCTAAAGCCTGGGCCTCTGGTCCTAGGTGTCCTAGCAAAGTTGACTTGAACTATATTAATAAGTACAGGTTGGAATTAAGCTCTACAAGAAACCATTCTGTTAGAGTACCCCCCTCTCCCCCCAGGGCAGGAGCTTTCAGACTTCTCCATGAGATTACAATGTATCCATTTATCTTATCTCTGGAAAGGAGTAAGAATGAGGAACAGCTGATTACCCAGGTGGCATGAGAGATTCAAACCTAGAAAACTGGGACTCCTGGGTCCTATTCATAGATCTATCTTCTGAATGACTGTGTGAACAAGATGGAATTGGGCGTAAGGGAGGCTGACTTTGCCCCTCTCTGGGCCTCCAGGAGTCTGTTTGACCCCTTCCTCATTGGGAATAGTGACTGTCATCCTCTTATAGATGGGTGAACATGGGGCAGGAGGATAGGCTGCAAAGGTTATTCAAGATCCTCTGGGAGTCTGGAAGGAGGGTCTAGCCCAAGAGGAGCAGAACCCAGCTGCAGCTTAACCACTGATGCCACCCACACACCCCTCCCTTAGCACCCAGTCACCCCCAACTGCCCCCAGCTGCCTAGTGCCTCAGACCCACCCACCACCCCTGTGCTTCTCTCTAGCTCCGGGACCTTAAAGCCCCTCCTCACATACCCTAGTGTCCTGAGAGGAACAAGAAGAGTCTATCTGTTCTTCCCATTTTGTAGAAAGGGAACCTGAGACCCAGAGAGATTAAAAATGTAATCTCAGGTCACACAGCCAGGACTTCTGGTTCCTCTTTAGTACTTTCTCCACTTAATGTTCCTGAGCCAGGACTATGAAACTGGCTTCTCCCATTCCCTCAACATTCTAATCTCTCTTTCCTTTTTTTTTTCTCCACCTTTCTATCCCTTGCTACATCACTTTACTCTCTCTTCTCCCCATTTTCTCTCCTTCTGGGTCACTCAATACACACAACTCTTCCATTCTCCTCCCTCTCGAATTGGGTTCATATTACCACCATCCCATAAGTAGCCCCGGACTGCAGGGACACCACAACCTGCTGGCCCCATTTACATTACTCATTTCTTCCAGCCCTGCCCAGAGACGGTGGTGGGGGTGGGTCTGGGTATGCTCCCGCAAGCCTTTGGGACTCACCTGACCTTTAGTCTTCTAAACCGTCCTGAGACGTGCGGCTCCAGCCCTGGCCCAGGCGCCCCCGACTCAGTCTTCCGGGGTCTCCGCCGCTTCTGGGGCATCAGGCTGCCCCCGTGGGGTTGAGGTGAAGCTGGTGCTGTGGTTCCTTGAGAGCCCTCCGGGACTCAAATTTCCCTTTGCACGAGGAGCTCTAGGCGCCTCTGCTTTTCCAGGGGACTGAAAGGTTGGTGAAGGGGAGTGGGTTGGACACAGGTGGAGTGGTACTTAACCCTATCCTTTCAGTCGTAGGAGTGTCCCTTTGGAGGAGGCGAGGGCAGACAATTGGAGCTACAAGGAAATAAACCTCATCTTCAGGTGGTCACCTACCGCTCCTCGGGGCATCTGGGTTCTAGACAGGTGGAGACAAGTTCCGCCTACAACACTTCCACCAGTCCCGGAGCTGTTCTAAAGTTTTAAAGCCCTTAAAACTAGCGTTCTGACGACTACCCGAAAGAGTCTAGTCCCGCCCACAGGAGTTCAGACTCTGGACGAAACATTCTAGCCTCGCCCCGGAGCCTTCAAACTTTCCTGATTCGCATTTCATCCGCTACCTCATTTACCCCTAACCCCCTCTACTCCCTTCTCCCTTTCCCGTGTGACCCTTCGGGTCGGAGCCACCACTTTCCAGACCCTTCCCTGTTTCTCTGCGGTTAAAGAGTTCCTCCTCTCTGCCCCTACTGTGGGTTATTCAAACCTCATGCAAAGTCCCTAACACAGGAACAATCGCTTTGACTTTTGGGGCCACTGACACTATTTTTAGAAGAGCTCAGCGGCTTTCTGACACAGGGAAATCAAGCTGTCATCCGTTTAGTTTTTTTACTATCTCGATTGCTAGGTTCATTTCTTTTGAGGGATTCCCAACAGATGGTGATCTGTTTGTGATCCTCCAGGCGATCCTGTTTGTGGGGATCAATGGAAAGAACTAGCGCAGTATAAAGAGCCCTGAACTTAACAAACGGAGGACAGGAGTTCACATCCCAGCTCTGCTACTCAGTACCTGTGTGACTACAGGCGAGTCATTTTCCTTCTCTGGGTCTCAGTTTCTTCATCTGTAAAATGTGAGAGTTGGATTACATAATCTTTTCTGTCCCTTCCAGTTCTTAATTAATCTAAAACTTGGGGGGAGAGGAGGGGCAGGAATTCGATCATTATTTCCATACTGAAGTAATAAGGGGTCGATTATTTCATAATGAGACCCCCCTATTATTTTTTTTCTCTAGACCAACCCTCCTTTTTCTATGCTAGGAGAACTGTAGAAATAGAACGTTAGAGCTGGGCAGATGCTTAGAGGTCACCTTCTCCAACAGATGAGTAAGTTCCTTTGCAAGTTCCGCAGAGTTAATTGTATTAAGCCATTGAATACCAAAGTCCATGAGACCAGTAGTCACTTGAGGGGAGGGGAGAATAAATGGAAGAAAATATAATTCCCGAAGACTTACAACTGACCCAAATCCTTGTTCTGGCCACCCTCCTTTGGACGTGTTCCCAGTTGTCAGTTGGTTTTTGTTTTTTTTTCCTGACTAGTCTTATGATTTGGACAATGCAGGGAATTCCCAATGAGGAACTTTTTTTTTTTAAACCAATACAGACAGGCACTCGCTGCAATTTACAGTCTTAGTTGTCTGGGGGCACTAAGAATTTAAGTGACTTGTCCATGGTCACAGAGCCAGTATGAATCAGAGGTAACTCTCTCTCATTCTCTCTCTTTCTCTCCCCCTCTGTCTCTCCCTTTCTCCATTTATTCCTCTCTCTCTCCCCCTCTCTTTCTCCCTCTCTCTCTCCCTTCCTCCCTCATTCTTCCTCTCTCTCTCCTCTTCTTTGCTTTCTCCCTCCCTCATTTCCTCTCTCTCCCCACCTCCCTTACTCGTTCCTTCTCTCTTTCTCCTTCCCTCCCTTACTCCCTCCCTCCCTCATTCCCCCCCTTCCTTCTTCCATTCTTCTCTCGCGCCCTCCCTCCTTTCTCATCCCCTGCTTTCCACTGAGACATTGCCTCTCCAAGCTGCCAATATAAAATTTGAGGCCTAGAATTAAACATCTGGAGTATGGTGTTCAAATTTTGTTTAAATATCCATAGAACCTAGGAATTTAAATGGACCTCAGAGATCATCCCTCTAGTCATTTCCTTTACCGTATCTCTAAACAGAGCCTCTGTGTAAACACTTCCAGTGACAGGGAGTCACCTACCTCACAGTGAACCACCCATTTTTTTTCATGTTGATCCTTGATATTCTCCCACGTTAGGAGCAAAGAACTATAGAAACAGAACTGGAGGAGTTGGATAAGCCCTTAGGTAATCTAGCCCAATAGATGCAAAAACCACATTGAAAGTTCACATAAGTAGCTAAAGGAAGAAACCAAAACTATAACTCAAGCCAGTGTTTTTTTCCATGCTGCCTTTTTAAATGATTTCTAAAGTTCTCTCTAGCTCTGACATTCCAAGATTTATGTTCTGAGGTCTCTTTGAGCTCTTAGGTGGGAAGAGGGGGCGAGGGAAGACACAATGACCATTGCTCAGAGCTCTTATGCTTTGTCAGATGCTGCTGCCATCACCCCTCAAGATGTTCCCTAGGAGAGGTTAGTATTATCTTGTTCACTTAGAATTTTGGGTTGGGAGGCAGGAGACTTGGAGTTAAATCTAGCTTACACACTAATTTGCTGGGTGACCTTGGGCAAACTTTCCTCCAGCTCAGATATGCCATGTTCTAAGGCCAATCTGAGCTCTAATGTTGTGTTCTGAAGTCCCTTCCAGTTCTAGTATCCCATGTTCTATATTACATGGAGCTTGGAGCATTAATATCCTGTGTTCTAAGCTCACTCGCAACTCTTATATACTCTCTTTATACCTTAACTAGGGTACATTCCCAAATAACTGTGTCTCAATTTCACACCCCAGAAAAGAGCAAATCAATATTGGAACCTTATTTTTAAAAAATTAGTTCTTTTGCACCTCTTATATTCCTAGCAAAGTACTGAGCCCCTAGCTCAGTACACACATACAAATGCACATATGCATGTACACACACACACGTACTCTCACATGGGTTCACACACAAACACATGCATACAGGCATATACATATGCATGCACACAAGGCACATTTACATAGGTGCACAGTGCACACAAAACACACATACAATTCACACACATGTATAGTCACACAAATGCACACACAGGCAGATATACATGCATGGCTGCACAAGTATACTCAAATGCACACACACCTACATATGAACACATACATGTAGGCATATACACATAAGTACACCCACATGTATGCACATAAACACACAATGCAGGCACATGCACCTGTATGAACACACAGGTACACTCACATGTATGTATACATATACAAAGTTCCTTGCCTTTGGGGAGCTTACAGCTTCTTTGTTGAATCAAGATAAGTTTACATTTGTGAAATAGATAACAAGGCAAGGGAGCAGATAGAGTATATACCCTAAACTGTATGGTAGAGATTCTAAGAACTATGAATGAGGTATACAAGTCAATACTATAGGAACTCTGAGTTGGGAGAGAGGCAGAGTTCCCTGTGGGTAGGAGTGGTCAAAGAATATTGAACAGAACTGTGGAGAGACTGGATCTGGATAAGAAGGAAGGAAGGAAGGAGGGAGGGAAGGAAGGAAGGAAGGAAGGAAGGAGGCACAGAGGGAGGACAAAATGAAAGAAAGGAAAGGAAGAGAGGGAGGGGGGGAAGGAAGGAGGCAGAGAGTGAGGAAAGAAGGAAGGAAAGGAAGATAAAATATATTTATTGTTATGTCCAGGCACTATGCTAAGCACTTTACAATTATTATCCCATTTGATCCTCACAGCAACCTTGAGAGGTAGGTACTATTATAATCTCCATTTTACAATTGAAGAAACTCAGGCAGATGGAGGTTAAATATCTTGCTCAGGGTCACACAGCTAGGAAGTATCTAAGGCTGGATTTGAACTCAGCTCTTCTGACTCCAGGCCTAGCACTCTATTAACTGCACCAGCCAGATGATCTGGGCTGGGGAGCTTCAAGAATATGGATTAGCAGACTAGAAGCAGAGGCATTCAAGTTGGAGAACCCGTGTGAGAAAAGAGATACTAGAAACACAAGATTTTGTGCTGGAAGAAAGCTTAACTATCACTTAGAGTTACAAAAATAGAAGCTTCTAGATCTAGAGCTGGGAGGGACCTCCAGGACCACCTAGTCCAACCTCTTGATTTTACAGATGAGGAAACCGAAGTTCAAGGACTTGCCCAAGGTCACCCATGTCTTAAGTGTCAGAGATTATATTTGAGCCCAGGTCCTCTGGCTCTAGTGTCAGTGATCTTCGTAACATACCCAGCCCAACCCTTCATTTTGCAGAAGAAACTGGAGCCCAGAGACATTCAATCAGAGACTTGCCAAAAGTCACACAGGGGATGAGGAGCAGAGCCAGGATTTGACCTTAGCTCCTGACTCTAAATCCAATTGTCTAAAGACCCCATGTTCTTGTTGTCCAGTCATCGTTTCTGACTCTTTGTGGCCCCATTTTGGGTTTTCTTGGCAGAGATACTGGAGTAGTTTGCTATTTTCTTCTCCAGCTTATTTTACAGATGAGGAAACTGAGGCAAACAGCATTAAATGACTTGCTCAGGGTTCTCCTGACTCCACTGAGCCACCCAGAAAATATTCATTCTTATACAATTCAGGGGTTGACCTAGATAATCTCAATGGTTCCTTTCAGTGCTATGTTTAAGGATCAGTGTTCCTGGCTTTTTTCCTCCTTCATTTTCATTTTCATTTTCATTCCCTCCCATTAAAAAACCGTCCCCACAAGGTTGATTGTACCCTACAGCAGGGCTGCCACCAGCTCTTTAGAAAAATTTTCATATTTCCAGTGGCATTTGCATTTAATATTTTTAGATTCCCTGGTATTCCTATTGATTGTTCAGGCATTCAACACAGGACTGACTTGGTGGGGGGAGGGAGGGACAGGGGAAGATGCAGTTATTATGGTATAATATTCATTTGCTCCCTTTTGAGTTGCCAGATGCATCCCAAGATATTCCTTATGAGATGTTAGCATTTTCTTGCCCTGGATTGACAGATAGGAAGCTTGGGATGAAGACTAGATAAGTCACCAATTTTCTGAGTGACCTTGGGAAAGTTCGATTCTCCTCTCTGAGACTTACTTGTTTTTCTCCTGTAAAATACAGATATTAAACAACAGGCAACAACTTGTCATACTTCTGTCACAGAGCTAAGATGAGGATCTGGAAAGATAATAGATGGGAAAGCTCTTTGTTAGGACACTGCAATGTAGCAGAAAGATCAATGAAAACAGGAGTGAGTCCTGGCATTATACCACTAACCCCCGTGAGACCTCAGGAACACTGCTTCCCTGCTCCAGAGATCAGTTCCTCCTCCTCCTCCTCCTCCTCCTCCTCCTCCTCCTTCTTGTGACTGAAATGCAAGTTGCTATTACTGTTTTAGCAACATAGGTACACCCAAATATATGCTGAGGAGAGAGTCCAGTGAACCTCAGAATGGTTTGAGCTATCTGCTCAAGGTCACAGGGCAAGTCAGAAGCAGGGCGGAAATTAGAACCCATGGCCCTGTTTAAAAGGAGAACATGATGCCCCATGGGAGTCCTTTGGTCAACTTGTTTATAGCCTTCCTTGCCACTGGTGCTAACCATATTCAGCTGTATACCCTGT